GTATTAGCCTGATTTTCACTGCAACTCTCGTCTTTTACAGGTAATACGAAGTTTTTATAACTAGTTATTATAACTTTTCTCATCACTAAAGGTTTCTGAGATTTGAAAACACGTCAAAATTAAGACGAAGATTGACAGCGTTGCTCGTCTGATCGTTCGTGTACTTTTTTTTTTTTAATTAAGAATGTTTACTTTTGTTTGCTGCAGATAATTAGAATTTGGTACTTAAGAAATCCTAATATTGTGTTATTCAGACATCTTAACTCATCAACATTTGCCGACACGCCCCCCCCTGTACCTTGCACCCACCCCCTGTACCTTGCACACCCCCTGTACCTTGCACACACCGCTCTACCTTGTACCTTGCACCCCCCTGTACCTTGTACCACCCCCCTTGTACCTTGTACCACCCCCTTGTACTTTGCACACACCCCCTCTGTACCTTGTACCACCCCCCTGTACCTTGTACCCCCCCTGTACCTTGCACCCCCCCCCTGTACCTTGCACCACCCCTCTGTACCTTGCACACCCCTCCCCCTGTACCTTGCACCCCCCCACTGTACCTTGTTAAAGGCTAATACGTCACCTTTGTGTCGCAGGTGGTGTTGGTTGTGGCAGTCGCGGCGTGCATAGTGTTCACCCCCGAGGCTCGGCCAGCCCAAGAGTCTCCTCTCTCAGCAAGACCAGCCAAAAGCACCGTGAGGCTGCAGAGTCTTCCCCAGAAGACCCAGAAGGACCTCAACAGAATATGGAACACCCAAATTGACAAACAACGCAGCCGGGCCAAGACCCAAGACGCCAATGTTCAGTTCCTGGAGCGTCCTGGAGACGGCCGCTACGTCTACGGCTACGATCTCTCCGCCGAAGGCCGGTCTCATATGGAAGCCTCCGATGGGAAGGGCCAAACCGTCGGCAAATATTCCTACACGGACGCCAGCGGGAAGGACGTCCAAGTCCACTACGTCTCCGGCGCCGATGGCTTCAGGGTCATTAGCAACAATCTTCCCGAAGACACCGAAGAGGTGAAGAAAGCCAAGGAAGCATTTCTGAATTTCTACGAAAAGAGGAAAGCCATGCATTCCCTGGCAGCAGAAGGCGATGCCGCTGCTCAAGTTGCTGTTGCTGGCACTACTACTGCTGCTGTTGCTGGCACTGCTGCTGCTGCTGGTGGTGGTGGAGCTGCAGCTGCCCAGGGTGTGCCCGCCACGGCCCGCGGTGATAATGCTGAAGGACACGGTGAAGGTGAGGAGGGAGGAGGTGAAGGTGAGGAGGGAGGAGAGGAAGGTGAGGAGGAAGGAGGTGAAGGTGAGGAGGAAGGAGGTGAAGGTGAGGAGGGAGGAGAGGAAGAGGGAGGTGAAGAGGAGGAGGGAGGAGAGGAAGAGGAGGGAGGAGAGGAAGAGGAGGGAGGAGAGGAAGAAGAGGGAGGAGAGGAAGAGGAGGGAGGAGAGGAAGAGGGAGGCGAAGAGGAGGAGGGAGGAGAGGAAGAGGAGGGAGGTGAAGAAGAGGAAGAGGGAGGCGAGGAGGAAGAAGAGGAGGGAGGTGAGGAGGAAGAGGAGGAGGGAGGTGAGGAGGAAGAAGAGGAGGAAGGCGAAGAAGAAGAGGAAGAGGAAGAAGAGGAGGAAGAAGAGGAGGAAGAGGAGGAAGAAGAGGAGGAAGAGGAGGAGGAAGAGGAGGAGGAAGAGGAAGAAGAGGAGGAGGATGAAGAAGAGGGCTCAGAGGAGGAAGAGGAAGAAGAGGAGGGCTCAGAAGAGGAAGAAGAAGAGGGCTCAGAGGAGGAAGAGGAAGAGGAAAGTTCAGAGGAGGACTCTGAGGAAGGCAGCTCATCTGAAGAAGGTGCCGACAGCAGTGAAGAGGGTGAAGACAGTGACGAAGACGAAGAAGAATCCGACGAAGATGACGAAGAAAGCTCCTCTTCGTCGTCTTCGGAGGAAAGTGACGAGGGAAGCTCTGACGAATATGACGAGAACTTGAGCGAGGAGGCGCTGCTCTCCAAGTTCAACAATGACTTCGGACGCAGACTCTACAAGACCTCCATTAAACATTCAGGAACGGCCGCCACGAATGCCATAACCTCTTAGGCCTGACCCAACGGTAGACGCCTCTCTCGAGCTGATAGTTGTAAATACAATATAAGAAATGAGTTTCACAAAAACCAATTCGGACACCTGTAAATCCATGCGCTGAAAGCAGTTATATGTCACAGGAACTGGCATCAAGTCTGGGATCCAGGTCAGGTTGGGTTCTTGGAACGTCAGTCACACGCTGTGAATACCTGATTTACCTGAATGATAGTGCTGTGGTGATCTGTGTGCGTGTGTACAGGTATACATGTGTACAGCGTGACGTTGTGTGTGTGTGTGTACATGTGTGTGTATAGCGTGTGTGTCTGTGCTAGCGGGCTAAGCACACTTAATGCATCTTCATCTTCTTGTTTATAGAGATATTTATATATTAGAGAAGACTTTTCTTGACACTATTGAGAAAAACACCCTTTACAGATCCATTTAGTATGCTTACCTTGCCAGTATTCACATGATTCCACTTCTTTGAGTTAGATCAAATTTGATTTGCCGAGGTGATACACTAAGCAATCGACAGCAGTCTTTTATTACTCTTTCTGCGTAAATGTATAATTATCGTTGATGGATTAAAATCCAGACAAATGTTATGCAAGACTGTGGTCGATTACTATTGCTTCCTATAGTGTTTTGTGTACGGTACAGTTCTACAAACTTATATTAGTGTACCTCGACAAATTTTCCGTTTTCTCTAACACAATGTGCCTTAGGTTTTCTTTCATTTAACCCCCAACTTATATTTTTCTGGAATATAAGCAAATACAAGGAAGTGTGTAGTTATGTATCGACTGCCGGTTTGTCTTCAGCTACTCACCGCTTTTGTTTCAGTAACCGAGTAACTGTGGAGAAACTAATAGTAATGATCTGGACTGACTTGAGATATGAGAAGGTTTAGTTATGGGAGTGTGTGGTAGTCTGCTCAAGCAAGCTGTTGGTTGCTGGAACCTCCATTCCACAGCTCTGAAGTGCCCTATTTTATCTTGAATATAATTATAAAATTGCAAATGTTTATTGATTACCCTTCTTGTTATTGAGTGCGAAATATTCCTCGATATAAAAGTGCAACTAGTTCTGCAGCAATAGGTGACGCCAACAACGCCAGCCTAATATCTTACAACCGACTTAATACATTTGTAAGAAGTTAAAGCCCTGCTCCTGTGCCAGGTAAGTCCATCGCGGGCTCACCATAGCCCGTGCTACTTGGCACTTTAAGTTCCCAGTAGCTGAATCTTAAACAACTTAACACTAGTCCGGGCATGACGCAGCATTGCGTCATCCGCTTACTGTCGGTAATCTCGGGGATGACTCAATGCTGTGTCGTCCACTAAAATAATTGCCAAAAATCAGGTTTTTATCCGATTTTTTGGGGACTGTTTGGTTTGGTTTGGACGGTAAGCGAGCCTCGTCAACAGATTTTTCGCAGTGACCGATCAACTTTGTGACTACAACTACCTTCATCTCCAGAATGGTCAAGATGAATTACTCTGGCGGCAAGAGTGAGGTTGTCGGTCGCCAACACGTATGAACTTCATTAACTGTCAACGTAAAGTAAGTACAGAACAGCCAGGACCAATGAACGACAATTTAATTAAGTCGCAATGACCTAATATGTTTAGGAGAAAATCATTGAACCAGGACGTTGGTTTGATCAACGTATTGTTCCAGTCATTGTCTTAGTGTAAGACACTAAACAAAACAATGCAATGAAAAAAAAATCTTTCAAAAATAACAAATAAATATGTTGTCTTGGGTGGGCTTCCGGCTGGCGGTGTGTGCCAACCTCACTACACACAATCCCAAAATTAATGACAAAGCAATTTACAATCTCTTACTAATTATGACGCTTTTCGCTCGTATGAACACCCAATCTGAAAATAGGACGTAATTCAAAATACAATAAGCTCACGAAAGTGACGGACCGTCTCGTGTTGTGTTTTGGGTCCTCTGGCTTAGGCTGTTAGGTTAGGAGAGGAAACGTTCAATTAACTGTTTTCATGACATCTTGAAACCTTAGGAGAACTTCCTACCCTCCTAACCTACCTGAGGTGGTGTTTTGCTGCTGTTCCAAAACTTGATGTTTTGGAAAAAAAAATCTAAAATTTATTTTCAATTATTTTTCTTTTTCAAATTACGGCCAGGTTGTATTAGATAATTACAAACGTTGCTTGCAGTTGTTGCGAATCTCAGTGACTACGATACATATATTATATGCACCAATACATTCAAAATTCAAATTCAAATTTTTATTCTGGTAAAAGTACATGCATAGAAGATGAGTTATAAACATAATGTTGAATTTCTAGATAGAGTTAGAACATACAATACCTAAACCCATTAATACCCATAGCGTCTCGGGCAAAATTCGAACATAAGGCTACTACAAAAATTAACCAAGAATAAAGAATATTTTAACCAAGAATTAAAAGAATAATAAAAAAATCTGAATTTTACAGTTATAATATTACAAACTGTCACCCAAAAAGAATAATACTTGGTGGTGGAAGGTACACAAATGAACTCTAGCTCCCAAAAGGTTCACATTTTGTACCATTAGTTTGGTAAGAGCAGAAGACAACAACCAAACCTAAACTGCCCTATAGGCCCTACTGCAGTGCTAAATAGGCCTAAGACCGTTTATTTAGGCCTATGTTAGATCTGACAGCTCCTGATCAACTTCTTTAATTGCGAGGTATTTAGACAATTCCATGGTACAAAACGTACTTTTTCGGGAATACAACATATCATTTGTGTTCATTCGACCAATAGTTTGCCCTAAGTACTAACATTTTATTCTAATGACAGTTAAATTTCCTTCACTGCAACGTGTATAAGAGAATATTCAACACAACTGCAGTATAGGCCTATGTGAGTCAGGGTTACTCAGGTAGGCGCCCCTCCCCCCCTACAGCACAGAAGACTTACCTCTTCCATCAATCTGTTTTCATACCAGTTTCCCACACGAACGCACGAGTGATACGCATTTCTAGCCATTTACCGATGCGTTACAATGTTAGGCGTGAACACGAGGCAGACACACACTACTGCTACTCGGCGTCACTCTGTTTACTGCCGTTGCTATGGCAACCTTCACCTATGAAAAGCTCAACAGACAAAATTTTTATTATTTACTGACGATGTGAGATAAAAATATATAATAAATGGTTTTTTATAATGTGGTATAAAAATTTTTTTATGCAAGTGGGACCAAGAATAGACAAGTTTTAATCTAATTAATTTAATCTAATTTTTCTTAGCCGGGTAATGAAAGCTTAATTGCCCTTTCCACCCGCCAACCACCACGAAACTACGTCTGAACGAGTTGTAACACGTCATGAACAAGATGTAACAACTTTGTAACAAAGTAATAATAGGGATCATTACGTTTTGTTCGCATGCCAGAGCTCATCTTAACTAAACTAATTTTCACTGGAACACAACCCACCAATTGGTTTACAACCAGGTCCTCAATTCCTGGTGGGTGAACAAAGGGACAACAGTTAAGGATATAGCTCAGTGGACCATCCCTGCCCAGGACAAGAACTAGGCCGAAATTGTTGGAGATGCTTGGGGGTGGGGGCGAGGCTACTATGCCTGCCACACTTCCATAAGTTAATGTTAATAAAGGAAATGGTTTATCAAGTAGATTATAACCCCCCCTATGTTCTTTATTATTGGTGTATGTATGCAAGATACGTGCAGGTATGTGTGTGGTTACAAAATACATGCGGGTGTGTGTCCGGATACAGGAAACATGTAGGTGTACACACCTACATGTTTCCTAATACTCATACAATATAGTTGAGTATTAGGTGTGCATACTCAACCCATCCTCCTGTTTGTGACGATCGTCAATAGTCACGAATTCTATGTACAGTACTTAGCTTTTAGATACTAGTATACTGATCAGTCAGGAATTCTTTTAAAATGTAGCTAAAACACAAACTTAAATATTCCTAAGCCTAGTATAGCACACATATGTACTATATTAGGCCTCAGATATCGTATATTAGGCCTAGGGAGGTTAGGTTAGGTTACTTTAGTTTGTCAAAGCAACGCAAGTTTAAAATAGTTTTCCGGTTTGTCCTACTCAATAGTTCAAAGTTCTACTTTCTAATTTCGTTGTACTTCGGTATATATTCTATGGTCCTCATCGTTACCATAACAGGAGGATGGGCTGCATACAAGACATGCGTGTATATAATTAATAATTCATTGTCGGGAAACAGGAAGCCAGAGTGTATTCATACGCATTTGGCTTTTATCGAGGGTTTATTTATACTGTACTTTACAGTACCTGTATATATAATAAGTACTGTACATGTAATGGGCATTTGTCTGCACCTGGGTCTCTTCCCTTTCCACTTTCCACCCTTTTCCCCCCATGCACTTGATTTGACCCCCCCCCCTCTTCATCCTCATCATCCTTCACCCTTGTCCTCCCCCATCTCCCCCTTTCTCTCAGAAAATTAAGAAGCACTGATACAACTGTATGGATCTCAGAATATATATTATAATCCTTGAAAAGTCTAGGGTTAATCACACCAAATATTTCACATTTGACTATGAACATCACAGGGGAGGGGATCTCTGTAAACACAAATATTTCTTAAAGCATTTAACTTGGGCCTATCTTCAGTAGGCTATGTCGATCCCATATTCCAGTCTCTTCCACCTGCAAAGTCAGGTAAGGCTGGACCCTAGATTTTGGTCTCCAACTTTGGTTAGACAAGCAGACATTCTTTCCTATAGTATTGACAAGAGAATATTTACAACTGTCTTTCCAGAATTAGAGGCCAGATGTTAGGGGGTAGTCTTACCCCACTTTTCAAGATGACACACTGGTGGTACGGGACTGTCATAGGTGGCCCCCTAATGCAACTCTCGGTGACTCCTATGAAGTTTGTAACAGTGGTTTTGTTTTCCATAGTTTCTCAGCTGTTTATAATATTCCATAACATGTTCAATGCAACCACAGCATTTAACTACATTTTTACAATGTTGCAGCAAAGTAATGATTGTAAAAACAATGTGTGCTTGCTGGGGGTGACAGGGTTAGAGGCCAGATGTTGGCGGCTAGTCTTACCTAACTTTTCAACAGGAAGAAGGGGTATACGCAGGAAGATGGATAAGGGAGGGGGGGGGGGGGGGCAGAAGAAAAAAAAAAAAGAGGGGGCAAGGGCAGAAGAGGCAAGGGGCGATAGGCAAAGAAAAAATGGGGGCGATTGTGGAAGAGGGTGGGAAGGAGGTAAAATGAGTGGAGAGAGACCCAGGCACCAGTAAATTACCCCATCTAGTAAATTACAAAAGATAAAATGCAAAAGCCAAAGAGAATTATATTTGGAGAAACTTAACAGCTAGAAGCATTACATAAATGGAGTCAAACTCTCAGCCTGGTCTCCTCGCAGAGTTTTACGACTGCAGGATACTTCAGGAAGTCTCATAGTGCTTGTTCACCAAAGACTTCTCTAGAGCTCTTCTCATTAAAAGCACAAAATGGCCACACAAACTGAACCCAAAAGATGCAGTATTACAAACCTATATTAACATTTCTCCATCAACTGCAGGCTGAAAATGTTAATTCAGTAAATTAAAGTTAATACTTACCCAATGGCATTAATGGAACAAAATCTTATCGGTGATCTAGCTTTCCTCAAAGCAGAAAAGTAAACAGTAGAAATGCTCTGCACAGAAGTGACTTTAGGCACTGTAATTACATTACTTTACTCCTCCACTGTTCATGTATCGTATTTTTATGTGTACGCTTGCCTAAATAAACATTATTTATTATAAAGGCTCGAGCTTTTAGCAAGGCGTAGATTGTTTTGCAACGGTTAAGCTCAGAAAAATTGCTATATAATGTTACTAATGAGAAATACACATTCTTAAATAATCCCAGGATTATCTACTCTGTCAATAAGTATTTGAAATAACATTTAGTGCTACTTTCACCTTCAATTGTGCAATGAACATCAAATGGAGTTTAATACATTTCTGCCTAATAAATGAATTTAAATATTAATAGAGATCAGATGCAGGTGATGAGTCACAATAACGTGGCTAAAGTATGATGACCAGACCACACACTAGAATGTGAAGGGACGACGACGTTTCGGTCCGTTCTGGACCATTCTCAAGTCGATTGTGTAACGTCGTCGTCCCTTCACATTCTAGTGTGTGGTCTGGTCATCAATAGTGATCAGAGTTGGCCATGTGCCTAAGTGATTAATGTAATTTGTTATATCATATAAAAGACACCCAAAATAATACTTTGATAATTCCTTAGATGATCCATTTACCTGAGAATAAGTAAGTAAGTAATTATCAAAAGAAGGCACCAAACCGGGAAGGCTATGTTTACCTGAGATTAAGTGCTTTTCTATGCCTGTACCACTATTCAGATATTCAACCAGCAAAAAGAAGTTGATTACTTAACATACCAGTATTTACTTACTTGTCCATTCCCTTGGACTGGTCTGTACAGCAACGGCCTTGCTTACTGTAGAGTTGGCATTTAATCTCCCGACAGTAAGCGATCGGCCACCGTTCCTTCACTCTGTCCTCATTTTTATATATAACAGGCACAGGCGAACAAAATAAGTAGCAAAGGTATGACGGATTTAAAAATACTGGTGAAATAAAGGTTACTTAATTGCTTTTATTAAAATTATTAACAACTATGGACATACTTTGGTGATTACTGTATTTGCATTGACTTGTATGCATACCATCAATGATAGGAACTTTAAGAGCCCGTGGAATATAGTTTAACTCCAGAGATACATTCACTATTATCCAGATACACAGAAATTGTACTACACTTTACAGTGAAAATTGTGGTATTTAATATAATGTTCAACAAACCCTTGAGGCACATGATACTGGAGTGGCACTGGAATAAAGTCAATGACATTGAAGACACGGATTGAACATCACTGCATCATGTGCCTCCTGGGTTAATATTCAATTAATACTAGTTTTCCTAATTTCTAATTAAAGTCAGGCCTTTCACCAATGATAGGGCATTTCCTGCCAAAGCATATCATTGATTTGTAACTAACAGAACACAAACTTAAGGCTGCCATTATCAAAATATAGTGACATCTGTATCCTTTCTTTGCTACAGGAAATGTCATTTTTCTTGTATGAACTACATATTCTTGTTCTTATTCTATATACAGTATTCTTGTATGATTTTTTTTTTTGGAAAAAGCTATTTCTGAAGAAAATTAGTTTAAAATAGATACAGTACATGTCCAGACAAGTGCACAGACAAACTTATTCTATTAACTCTGTAATCCATGGAATAAAGCACTTTTCCAATAATATTCCACATATTTTGTACTATACAGTATACGCAAACTCATTGCTCGCATAATTCTCGACAATTTGTCTTCATAATTTTTATTCACACAAAAAAAAAAAAAAAACATTTCAACCCATAATCTTTGGAACTTAACATACACTGTATACAAACTTGCCAATTAACTTCATAAATATTTATATCCCTTCTCAGTTACTACATAAACATTATGTCACAGTTTAGCTGTTTATATAGAAGGTTATATATCTGGTATTAAAAGAATATGCATTAATTTGTATTAAAAGCTGTCTGTTGTTAAGTGGGGGATAGGCCTCTAGTGACTGCGCACCTTAGTAGCTGGGAGAGGGAACTTTGGACCTGTTAATAATGCTAATGAAAGTAATACCTAGGTTTTTGTGACTTAGAAAAGATAGTGAACATTTAATAGGAATTTTACATCATATATCTTAAGAAAATATGCAGCCTAAGTTCACGACAGTTAAATGTGAAAGTTGGACTTGGAATAAATATCATAACAATAAAAGCAATGTGGACAAAGATGAATAATACAGATCCTGTATTATTAATAATCTAATTTCTTTACATAGCACATGAAAAATCTAACTACATAGTAATCTGCAGGAACATTTCTTGCCTTACAGTATAACCAAGGCCCCTTCTTTCTAACTATAAGTTATAATACTGAGTGAAATTCTTAGCCCAGAGAGTTTTCCTGCGCTAAGGGATAAGTTATTATAGGAGGTACTCTTAAAATTGCTGTGCATAATACTCTTCACATTATATAACAGTAAATCAAAGGAATGCTAATCATATAAATGATTCCTGGTTTTATTCTGCTGTATTTTGAATATCTCGATTCTGTGTGTCATAGTACAGGCAACTCCATTCTCGACTCACAATTGGGGGACCCTGGGTTCGATTCCCAGGTGGGTGCAGCAAATGCCTCTGTTCACCAAGCATATAGGTACCTGGTAGTTTGGCTAGTGTTGTTGAGTTACATCATGCAGAGGATCAGTAGTTCGACCTTGAGGTACCTCAATACAAATCTAAAGTCCCTAGGCCAATGACTGACCTATCCCATGATGCAACCCACAACAGCTACATACCTAAACCCCAAGTATCTATTTACTGCTTGGTAAACAGAGGCATTATGTGAACAGAAATATACTTAAACTCTTATTCTACGCAGAAATTGAATCGGAGACCATTTGGTTGGGATCCGACTACACTAAACACTGCATTATACATTTTGTTTTAACACGAGCATTGTTTGTTGAATGTTTCTTTTATTTCCCAACTGCTTCAAAAGAATAATACACAGTTCACTTTCCTGCACTTGCTTGAGAGACACAGGACAAGAGGTTATGATTTAGGTTTTCAAGTGGGTAAGAGGCATAAACAATTGAGATATATGCAGTACAGGCATCAGACTGTTGGAACAGGCTAAAACCCACAATAATGGATAAAGATGTAGAATAAAGATAGAAAAATTTATGATGGATAAAGGGTTTGGAATGAGGTTCTGGATGAGTAGAATAGCCTTACTGAAACTAAGTTTAACAGACTTCAAGAAGACTGATATGTATATGGATAAAAGGGTGTGGATTTAAATGGAACCTGCTTGCTGCAGTACATCTTAACTCTCTATTCTTACTGTAATGTTCTTATATCCTATAATGTAGCCGACTTAAAACCAGGGATTGACTGCACATAACACATAATACATCATGTTCTCGATATAGGAGATAACCAAAGAGGAAAATGTAAACTGGTCAGAGTGCCTTTGTTTATGTGACCAAACTATAAGTGTGCATTTAACTACATTTCTTGCAACAGTACAACAGTTAACACTTTGCAGATGCCATTAAATTTCTGAACACTTGTTATCACCCAGGACTGACTTTTTCAAATGTTTGAAAAATAAGGCAGTCAAAAGGTACTGCTCAGATATGAGCCTTTTGTACTGTATTAAAAAAAATTCTCCAAGTCTTACATTTAGTAAGAAAGTTTAATTAAACAGACTAAGAATAAACAAATTAGGAGCAACCCTTAGCCTGGTCGACGACCGGGCCGTGGGGACGCTAAGCCCCGGAAGCACCTCAAGGTAACCTCAAGGTATGTTGCAGCGTGGAAGCCAGACAAATCCACCATGACAAGGATACATTGCTTAGTCAAGAAGACCTGGGGTCAGATTCACGAAACCACTTACACAAACACTTACGAACGTGTCCATCTTTCCTCAATCTTTGATGGCTTTGGTTACATTTATTAAACAGTTTACAAGCATGAAAACTTACCAATCAACTGTTGTTGTTGTTATAAACAGCCTCCTGGTGCTTCCGAGCTCATTAACTGTTTAATAATTGTAAACAAAGCCGCCAAAGATTGAGAAAAGATGTACAGGTTCGTAAGTGCTTTCGTGAATCTGGCCCCTGGGCAGCACAGCCACCAGTAATGAAAAGACTCAACTTATTTTACTGTCCTCTCCTGCATCAAATCATCATAATATATGTTGGGATGTTGCCTGGAGCTTCTAGTGTTTGTTTAAGGTCATAGTAAACACTGTTTTCATTGATTATAACCTGAAGATACTCGTCATTCAAGGGGTCGTATTTCTTTAATACAGTAAAATGAACTGGAATCATTCCTAATTTTTCATTAATTTCATTCAAATGCCAATTTTTTGTAGATCCTGGGTGACTGCAATCACTGCCTTCTAATATGTTATATAGTCCACATGCTCCACAGTAGTTCAATAGTGATTCCAAAAGTGTTAAAAAAACATTTACAGCACATTTTAAAATAAATTTCCACTTCTGAAAGCAATATCATATGCTGGCTACCTTGTAGCATGCTGTCAAGAAAGATTTTACCTGAGAAGGTTGCAATACTTGTATTGCAAGGGATTATATTGTAAAAGCAATATCTGCAAAGAAAGGAAAGTGGTCAAAACCCCTAAAGCAATTGCCTTTTAAAATTTCCTTTGTGGTTATCTGCTTAAATATTACTCATCATTTTTCTCACAATAAATATTCTCAAACACTTGTGTGAATGTATATAGAGTACAGTATATACAAACACACTTGTGTGTATGTATATACAGTATGGTGTACACAAAAGTAAACATGTTATAAAATGTACAAGAAACAAATGAAAAGTGAACAAATAAATACATAAATGATGAAAAACACTAATTTTGTGGACACGAGAGCAATTTGCTTATTAACAGAAGAAAAAAGCAGCAAAGAGCAGGGACATTACTTGTTGTAGAGTCGAGATGCGTTGATGGAGCTGCACTGTAGATGGGGCAGTACGGGCACTGGTACGACCCACACACCTCACATATGTCAAGCATTGCTAGTGGTGTGGCATTTATCATTACCATTTCAAAGTGTTCTGTCAGGGAGACAGGAAAATGGAAAGGTGAATTATTAATACTGTTAATTAAACATTCTTGTGAAAATGTTTAAGAGAAAACAAACCCTTAAAATAACAAGTCTAAATTTTATTTACATTTTTCAAAGCTTTTATCTTGTGGATTGAAAGATTTAATTTAATTAACAAGAGGAATTTTGTTCCTAATTTGATTTAAGTCTAACTTTGCCACCTCACTTATGTAAATATGCAAATTATGCATTAATCCTGCCTAACATAGCTAAAACTAGACCAAAGTTAATAATTCATGTAGTTAATCTAATGCATTAGCATTATTGTGGGGTAGACTAATTTTGAAAATAAAATGATAAACAAACCAGTATTGAATATACTGAAATGCCCTTTTCTGGGCAAGTCCAAGTGTCTCCTTGAGGCTATGTCACTGATATAGGTTACCTTGAAGTGCTTCCGGGGCTTAGCGTCCCCGCGGCCCGGTCGTCGACCAGGCCTCCTGGTTGCCGGACTGATCAACCAGGCTGCTGGACGCGGCTGCTCGCAGCCTGACGTATGAGTCACAGCCTGGTTGATAGGTTCCTAATACCTTGTCACATCAGTCATAGGCATCCTGTTGGCCTACTGGAGACCAGTCAAAATCTGGCCCCTCCCTTGAGAAGCATGGGGAGCAAGGGAGCATTATGATTACCCCGCACCGAGAAATCAGACGGACAATACAGTACAGACAACTCGTGGATCATGCAAATGGATTAAGCCCCGAAACAGCTAACAGACACCGCAAAAAGAATCACTCAAAACAAAATATTTCACACAAAACTGCGTACAAACACCTGCCTTTCCAAGTGCTCGTGCACAAAGCTGCCAGCCAACAGTGTTCCCCGGTCACGTCTGCACCCATCAGTCCGCTGCAGATGGGCCATGAACTGATGCACTGGTAGGAGGGTAGGGAGTCAGAGAGCAACTGGGCCTCACCCAGAAAGGGGCACTTCATTACATTCAACACTGATTTTCTGAACCTAACCAATAAAGAAGGAAGAAATGGTATATAACAGCAAGGATGAGAGACGGAAGTTACAAAGCTGATGAAGAAGAAACATCAGACTGGGAAATCCAGCCCAGGACAAAACAAGCACGAATGAAACCAGGAACAGTAACCAGATACCTAGCTGCTTAGACCCTATTAGATCCCCAAAAGCCTCCAAGCTAGAATATTGGTGCATGACCCATTAGCAAAAGTAGCAGTCAAAGCCACAAACTTACAGGGTGGACAAAGACAAACTCTTTAGCACGGGTGGGACACGAACAAGGGGACACAGGTGGAAACTTAGTACCCAGATGAGCCACAGAGACATTAGAAAGAATTTTTTCAGTGTCAGAGTAGTTAATAAATGGAATGCACTAGGAAGTGATGTGGTGGAGGCTGACTCCATACACAGTTTCAAATGTAGATATGATAGAGCCCAGTAGGCTCAGGAATCTGTACACCAGTTGATTGACAGTTGAGAGGCGGGACCAAAGAGCCAAAGCTCAACCCCCGCAAGCACAATTAGGTGAGTACAATTAGGTAAGTACAAACATTGTGGGCATGAGGGTATACCATAGGGTGGCTAGCTTTTTTGACAAAATAATGGAACAGACATGCCTTGGAGCAGGGAACGAAGAAAACTAGATCGACAAACAGAACATCCACCAAAGCATAACTGGTGGCGCACAAGTACAGTAATGATGAACCTCAGCTACCGGACATAACTGATAATGTACCCCAGCCACATAAACCAAGCATCAATTACCAAGGAATCCCTCTGGAAGTCAATACTGTAGTTTCATTTTTTGCCAGAAATGGAGATTGATGCAGGTGAAAAAACTGTCCACCAGGGCCAAAAGAATAGTCCTGACACCTCTGGAAGAGAGTGAAGTTCCGCAACTCAATAACCAGAGGCAAGAGCCAACTAAATAATACCTTAAGAAAAATATCCCAGACTGAAGCATCAACCATGAACAAAGGAGAAGAAACAAACACCAGAGCTAGAGACCACCCAGGGGAAGTGGGTTGAAAACTGGTTAGTGGATTATTTTCCAGGGGAAACTAGGATAAGAATTAACATGAGCTTCGGAACTTGAAGGCTCTAAACCCGTTAACAGGCATCAGAAGTTATCTATTTCTGTAACCACCTGTGTTAAAAAAAAAAAAGTGCAAGTGTGTGAGTAAGTAAAAGTGTGAGAAAGTGTAAGAATACACACAATAAATACCCATACAACAGCTAATATTATGTAATAGTAAATGATAGAGAAAGAGAAGCTTACCTGGAGCAAACATCTCCATAATTGTAGCAGACCTGATGGCTGTGAGGTTTGCTGCAGGATACCATCGTTGTATGTCATAGCTGAAGCACTGCATTTTGTCCGACGGGATCTAAGATATGAAATGAAGGAGTTATCTGTGTCACTGGGTTGTACTTCAAGTAAAATACACCTTATAGTTTGTATAGATGATGTATGCTATACTTAGTACCAGTGATGGAAATGGGGGGGATAATTGTATGTATGCCATATATACCTCCTTTTGAATTTCCAAGTTTTATGTTTATGTAATTATGAACATATTGATTAGCTATCCTTTATCAAGTTTTTACCAATTACTTTTTTATTTGGTAAAATTATAGATGGATCCCCCTTGAGTTCTGCAAGCATAACCCCTAGATACATCGCAAGTGTACAACTAGTTCCCAAAACCCATTTTCATCACAACATAATACCTTATTCTTGCAAGCCAGCCCATCCTTCTGTTTTTGGTAGTACTTATAGTAACTAGGAATATTTTACTTTGTTTTAGCTTCATTTATTTTAAAACAATTCTTTACTAGTCAGTATACTACTATCTAAAAGATAAGAACGTACAAATTCTGACTATAGACGGTTGTCATAATAGGTACTATCTAAACAGATGGATGGGTGGTTCAAGCCGATTAACAAGAAAAATGTAACTTATTTCTATCCATGTGTTACATTTTTACAAACAAAATTAATAGTGGTATGATTATTATGAGAATAACCAGGGCTGCACCAATCCCAGATGCCAAGTTTCCATGTTTCTTAAGACATACATCATAGAATTACAAGCTCTTAAGTAATGTTGGATATTTATCAATCTAAAGTTATATCCAGGTATGTGTACTGAATGTCAAATTAAATATTTTCCAAAGAGAGTTTATCCAACAGAGATTTTGTTAAAATTTTAGGGGAAACTGTTGCATATACAGTGGTGACAGTTCTATATTCCCTACAGAGTGGTCCCAGGGCTATGTTGCTTATAGAGTGGTGTCAAGGCTATGTTGGCTATAGAGCAGTGTCAGGGCTATATTGGTTATAGAGCAGTGTCAGGGTTATGTTGGCCATAGAGCAGTGTCAGGGCTATGTTGGCCATAGAGCAGTGTCAGTGCTATGTTGGCCATAGAGCAGTGTCAGGGCTATGTTGGCCATAGAGCAGTGTCAGGGCTATGTTGGCCATAGAGCAGTGTCAGGGCTATGTTGGCCATAGAGCAGTGTCAGGGCTATGTTGGCCATAGAGCAGTGTCAGGGCTATGTTGGTTATAGCGTCAGGACTAAGATGGCTATAGTGGTACAGTATCAGGGTATGGTATCAGCAAGTGAGCCCTCTCGGAGCTGTGTTTGATCATTGTGAATGAGGATTCAGCTTATTTTGATTATAATTTATTCAGTTTTAGATCCTCCTACCTTGTGTTTCCTACCTCAAGGAAAACTAGAGTATAAAGTATTGTGTGATAAATTTTAATTTTGATGCTTTTAATCACAATACAAATTATAAAAATATACAATTGCCACCATAGATATAATAAACATAGTAAAATATTTTGTTGCTACTCTGTCATTTACATATACAGTACTGTATACCTTGTAGGTGATTTTGTGCAACAGCATCAATTTGTTTTTGTTAGAGAAAAGTCCAAGTTTCTGAGCACAGGCCACTCAATTGGATGTCGTGTTGGTGTCATGTTGTTGGTGGTAATTGGGGTTGGATGTTGTGTTTGTGTTGGATGTCATGCTCGTGATGGATGTCGTATTGGTGGTAGTGGTAGTGATGAAAGTACTAATGACGGTATTTCAACGTAAATTACTATACATACTGTATAGCATAACCAAATACAGCATACTTAAGCGAACAAGCTTGAATGATCCCCAAGCCAATATGCAACTGAAAACTCCACACCCCAAAAGGATTCGAACCCAGATAGCCAGGAGCGCTATGCACCTTGATGTACCTGGTACCTTAACCACTAGACCATACAACTGTACAGTTGACCATACAGACTGTACAGCTCCTGGCTATCTGGGTTCGAATCCTTCTGGGGTGTGGAGTTTTCAGTTACAGTATTCTTAAATAAAAATACAGACTAATGCTATATTCACATTTCAATAAATTAGGTCAAATATTAAATTAAATATTTGTTAAACTACTGAGCATCTTTCTAAACACTCGCACTTCATGATGCTTTAATACATAATCCTTTAAAAAATGCTGTACTCACAAAATCAAACTGCCAGAAAACATGTGTCTTGGTGCTGTGTACATTTCGGATTTGAGGGAAGCTGCCATTTTGTTGTATCACCGAGACAGCTGTCTCGGCTAAGGGTTGATAAAATACATAACCAGTAGGAACTTCCACCTCTACCATGGCTGCACTGCTGGTGTGTCCATCTTCCGTTGCAACCCATCTGTATGATAAATGCAGCATTTACTTAAATATAGACTGTATTTATTCATCTAAATATAATACTGTATGCTGTAGGTACTGTACAGCAATAAATTAACCAGTCGAGGAGAGTATTAAGTTTTGCCATTGCATTAGGATCACTAGCCCCTGGTTCCTTCAAGACTATCCACTGCGTACTGCCACCAACCACACAGCCTCTTGTGCCAAAATATGGAAGCAAGCATGGCAAGATTTGAGGTGGATCATAGTGCAAATGACCGAGTAGGTAGCACTTGGGCACTTTCTGCAATTTGTAATAATTTTTTATTTACAATCACATTTAGCATAATATGTATCAGTGATTTTGGGCAGTTATATCTAGTGGTTTAATTATTTATCATTAAGGCAGTTTATGTGAAAGTTCAAGATGGCTTGACATTCAGTGCCGAGTTTAGTAAATATACACACGACAAAATGTGTGTTTTATAGCATCTCAAATCTTGTGTTATATAATGATAGTTTCATTATTTAGGCAAATTTTCTCATGCTAATACAATACCATTTTGTGCCTCCCCGAATGCAAAATACAGCACAAGTTTTTTCTCTCTAAGAATAATTTTATGAACAAGAGATCATAATGACTTAGCTTGAGGAATGATATATTAATAAATTAAGATGCCGCTGAACATTTTTTAATTTTTACTTAAATATACATTTTTAGATTGTCATATTTTTCCTATTTATTATTTTAAAATGTTTAATAAATTTTACACACTTTTTTGTAAAAGTTTATAACAATTTGCTTCCTACTGGCAGCATTTTTTTTTCCCGAAGCACTGAACTGTTTGCAGAGAATAAGTCACAACAACATGGCTACAAAATTTTTTTTGAGAGATATATACAAGAGTTGTTACATTCTTGTACAGCCACTAGTACGCGTAGCGTTTCGGGCAGGTCCTGGAATACGATCCCCGCCGCGAAGAATCGTTGTTACAACCAAGTACACATTTTACTGTTGCGTTAAACAGAGGCTACAGTTAAGGATTTGCGCCCAGTAAATCCTCCCCGGCCAGGATACGAACCCATGACAAAGCGCTCGCGGAACGCCAAGCGAGTGTCTTACCACTGCACCACGGAGACTGTGACAATATCCCAACTTCCACACATGAAATGAAAGTAAAGACATTTCAGTCTGTCCTGGACCCTTATTGCATCACAAATGTTTATGACAGGTCAAAATGTTGTCAATTTCATTTCACATGTGTGGGTGGGGATAAGCGTTTCATACTATGGCTATTACAATTAATAGACCTTACAATAATTCTCCCATATATATTCCCATACTTCATATTTATGTACCGTACTACTTTTTTGTTTTATTATACAGAAAACAGAAAAGGAATTGAGTGTAGAATCACTTGACATCTGTTGTAGAATAATAAATAGACCTCTTGGCCATTTTCTGAAATTATTTTAGCTTATTAAACATACCAAGAATAATATTAACAAATATTTCCTTACTAATAGCTAAGAAAACTTACCTGGCACATACAGTTGTGGTAACAATAGATTTGTTTCTAAATTGATGATACTTCTCCAAGACGTTTAGATCAAAGTATCTCTTGTGTGGCTGCTCAATGGAGCCGAGAACATCCACTCCCCACGACACCTCCAGTTGAGCTATTGCCTGTCCCGACCCCTTTGCAACCAGACTCGCATGGCCCCATATATTCTCTAGCTGCAGAAAAATATGGTTATTGCTATAAAGCCTAAAAAATTGATACTGTAAAGAACAAATTACAATATATTTGCAGATATAAATAAAAACAAAACTATCACATTAAAGATGTGAAAGTGGGGAATTTGTTTTTTTCTGAACCAGGTCAGACTGAAAAAATCTTGTATGTTTTGGATATTTAAAAAATGTTAAAAAAAAAATAGTCCAATGATAAATGTCAAAATAAAGAAATATTGATATATTTTTGAAGGTGAAGAAAGACCCAATTTATGTTTAAGTGTATTAAAAACAAAATTTTTAATTGTAATCTATATCCTTTCTCAAGGTGCTGTATGCAGTGTTCCAATGGAACATACAATGGAGAACAACATATTCAGTACTTTGAAAAAGGATGTAGTTTACATCTGAAAATTTGTTTTTTAAAACACTTAAAACATAAACGAGGGTCTTTCCTTCACTTTCATTCAAACACTACAACATTTTAGTAAGTTCCTTTATTTTCTATAACTAAAGTTGAAAATACTCAATATATATCAAAATATGACCAAAAACAAAAAACCAGAGTTGAATGTAATGAAATGCCATTTTCTAGGTGAGCCTTGGAGGCTCCCTGGAGCTATTGGGCTAATGTGCGATATATTAGACCAGGGGTATTAGTCAATGGAGTTCAACCTACCGGGAACCACAAGCCAGAACCTGGCCCCCTCATAGGCACAGCTGGGAGCAATGGCCCCTGGAAAACTCCCGTGCTTGGGGGTTTTCCTTATCTGCCATTGAATGGAATTAAGCACCCCAGAAAGGTAGGCATAACAAAACAGACCCCCAATTGGTAAGAAAATTGCAACCGAAAACCGAACAGAGAGGCAGAGCTCCCTCAGTTCCCAAGGAAACAAGCAAACGTCACACCTTGCCGCCGCGCTGCTCGTCTGTGCAGCCCTCCCTCCCTGAGAGGGGGGAGCCATGGACCCCCAGCGCCGGCTACCCAGCAACTCCAGTTTGGAGGTTAAGCATCAAAACACAAAAACCACCAACTGGAGGGAGGGAGGAAGGGAGGGTGCCAGGGAGTATTTGGGGCTCAGAAAATGGCCTTCCAGTACATTCAATGCCAGTGCAGTGAGGCGGGACGTTTGCTTGGGAATTGAGGAAGTTCTGCCTCTGTTTGGTTTTCGGTTGCAATTTTCGTTTGCAATGTGGGGTCTGTTTTGTTATACCTACCTTTCCGAGCACCTAACCCCGGTCGATGCAGATAAGGAAAACCCACAATCACAGGGGGGTTTTCCAGGGGCCATTGCGCCTTGAACCTCTCTGAGGGGTCAGGTTCTGGCTCGTGGTCCCCGGTAGGCTGAGCTCCATTGACTAATACCCCTGGTCTAGTGTATCGCATATTTCTGCTTTTCTGCATTTCTGTGGGGAGGGGCTCCCCTCAGAAAACATACATTTATCAAATGTTACCCAAATCCTTGTACAGTATAATTACATTAATGATGCAGATAAATAAAATATTTTCACACAGTTAAGGAAATAGAATGTGATTTCACATACTGTTCATGTATTGATCATCAAAGATTATGTATTTTTTTTTAAATATCAAAAATTATTGAATAATCTTTGTCATTCTTCAGTACTGTAGTTAAAATTATTTAATACATTAAATATACAGGAAACATAGTTGAAGATTTAGCTGAATTACGAAAGATGATCCAAAAATATAAATTACAGTACAGACCTATATTACCTTAAATGAATGAAGGGCTGATGTAGAGGTATTAGTGATAGAGATGTAGTATTGTTTTGTGGGCTGGGCTGTAACATCTAGCGAGCATTCAATATTTGTTACATCACGCAGGCGAGCTCGAAACGCATATTCTGCTAAAGCTTGCATTGCTACAAGTGTGTCCTGGAAAAAAAAAAAAAATATCAGTACATATCCTGAGACTGAAAGTCAGTGTATACAAATGGATCAAAGATAACTGAAGCAGTCTCATCCACTGCTCCAAAATTACTAAGCTTGGGGCCATACAAAAGGTAGGGAGGGTGTATAGATATTTGGTGCCTTGTTGTGAATACAACAATACCCAACTATATATAAATTTGTCTCATGAAATATTGGACTTCGAATAATCTATATTTCTACATCTAGACCTTTGAGGCATACCAATAGGTTTGCACTGTAACTCACGAGAGAACATATACAAATGTGATTAAAGGCCATCAGGTTTTATAATTTAATTATAAAAAAGACTGACAATAACTAACATTTTAGCAAATTCACCTTGGACCTGGGGATCTACCTCCTTTAATTATCTCCAATCTTTAATTACTTTGCAAAAAATTAGCAATTAAAACAATAATGAATTCCAGCCCTAGACACCAATCTGCTCCCTTACTGAAATCTTTAAACATGTTAAATATCAAGGCCCGGCATATACCTTCAAGCATTCTCTATATCTATAAAACTCTGAACTGCAGTGCCAATCCCGACCTTCAGTGCTTCCTAGAAGACATTAATAGAACTCATGGTCACCACACAAGGAACAAATCTCTTTTTGATATTCATAAAATGTACTCAAAGCTGAAATGCAATGCAAATCAAGGGTTCCAAATTGTGGAATGACCTTCCAAATGTAGTTAAAAGCTGAATATCTCCCAACCATGTTTAAAAGAGAGACTAAGAAATATTTACTTCATATCATGTAATTCATAAAATATACAGTATAGTGATACCTTGGCTTTCGAATTTAATCTGTTCTCAGAGATGGGTCGTAAGCTGAAACGAATTTTCCCACAAGAAATAATGTAAATTGAATTAATCCGTTCCATACTCCCAAAAATATTAACTTCAAAATACATTTCATACATAATACACACAAGTATTTTGTACTATAGTATGTACAAATTACAGCTTACCTTTCTTGATTACTCTTGTTGGCATATGGAAGACAGTGAGGAAGGGGGGAAAGTGAGGAGGAGAGGTGTTAGTTTTTGGAAGGGAAGTTCCCTTCCATTATAACATCAGGCAGTGATCACTTCTCTGGGGTACTCTCTCTCTCCTATGTTTTGCAGGCATACCACTAGGACCTGGTTGAGGCTAACTGCTTGCTTGTCTTACTAAGACTGTCTAAAGACACTTGTTTTTCCCTACTTTTTAACACTTGTCTGTAAAGAGACATCACATTGTCATTAAAAGGGTCAATGCAACGGCCTGCTACAGCTTTATCTGGGCGAGTTTTTTCAGCAAAACTTTGCAATTTTTCCCATACTTCACCACATTTTCTTAATTAGGAAGAGACATTCTTTAATGTCTGTACTCACAATTATTTTTCTTATTTATTTATATATATACAAGAATGCACCCACCTATATACAAGAAGGTACATTTGGGGGGTTAAGTGAGTACATAGCAATGATGTTTTCATTCAGGTAAAGCCTGAAACGTGCTATGCGTGCTCGAAACACTAGCACGCATAGTGCTTCGAGCAAGTCCTTAATCTAACAGATAATTTTAAGTTGAATCTTAGGTCGAACCTTACCACTGACTTTCTTGGGACTTATGGCGTGATATATAATAATTACTTTTAAGTTCAGAAACCCAAAAAGCAAAAAAACAATGAAATTCTTTACAAAGAATTCAAGCACGATCGTCTTAGCAGGAGGCACTGGTATGATGTGCACTATGTGCCAGTGCCAGGGCACTGGCACTGGTGTGACAAAATCACATCAGGTCCCAACATTTGCTTCTCTGGTCATTGTTGCTGCCCAAGGTGGAGGAGGAGGACTTGATAGAAGAACAGCAGCTACCAAAAGACTGCTTTCTTGCTGTTCACAGTCTTCACCACCACACCCAGCACTGCCAAGGACATCGTATTCAGATTAAATGGAAATCGCCTTGTTTCTAAGAATTTTGCATCCCACTTCACCATGTCACCCTTTGTGATCTCTTGGTGGCAACATTAGCTTGGGTGGGCTAAAGCCGTCTTAATCTTTTTGACCTCACCTCGATGTGTGACCACTAACTACTCATATGTACCAACACTCCTTTCAACCATTTAACACTTTCGTGCTATCTGGACGCGCCGGCGCGTTCGGTTTCGTCTAACGTAAACGCATAGTGGACAAAGTTATGTCTACTTTTAAAATATTTGTATAAAATTCAATTTTTATCCGATTTACTTTGGGTTTGTTTCAAACTGCGCGCTATGAGGCTCTCTTTCTCACCACTAGGCTGCATGGTACAATAAGTTCATGAAAGGTGTGGATAACTTCGATCAAATGGTATTTTGTCCCAAACGGGTTGCAGGTGGGTGACTTTAGCCGTTTATACTGGTAATTCTTCCCCCATATCATGTATTATATGCATATGTCTGTTTAGGGAATTTTATTCCGATCAATATACAACCAAAAATAACTGTGTGCAACAAGTATAATCTTGACAAACATAACAAAAGTAAAAATATTTCGTGTGTGTTTGACGCTCACTGATATGTTCCAGCGTTGTTTTATATTTGTCGCTATTCTAACTTACGCTTTGTTGATATTTTTTACCTATGGGCACATAGAACATTCTATTGCGAACACATTGACATAAAAATGAATGACGTACATAGAAAATTAATGTCATGAGAGTGAAATAAGTATAAACTTTCAAAGCGCCGTGCGTCGTCCTGTCACCGATACCGGGTAACAATTTCACCACTTCCCACACTCTTGCGGGCGGGCTGCATCATTATTCTACGCTTATATTCATATCACCGTGTTGGGAATTTCATTGCGAGTCCATTGATACCAAAATTAACGCTGTAGAACAAGTGTGGAGGTGATTACAATCCCAAGAGTAAAAACATTTTGTTGCTGATGGGCGCTCACGGCGAGTCATCTACGTAGTTATTTATTTGGTGCTGGTATCCCTATATGTTTCGTGACTTATTTTACTAATGTTCTTCAAGAGAATTTTATTGCGAACACGTTGGTACCAAAATGAAATACGTAGCATGAGAACTAAGGTCAGAAGAGTAAAAAGAGTATACACATTTTTGTTTTTACGCTTAAGCGATAAAAACGCAGCGCGCACATTCGGTTGGCTGAGTGACCTTTGCGGAGAGCGCGAAAGTGTTAAGTGTTGTAATGCTTGATTCACTAGCTAATGCTAACTCCTAACTTGTGGATTACATGAGATCTAAGCAGACCTTCAGAAATGCACCCACCTTTTGTACATAAAGCATTTTCCACCCTACACAGCTGCCTAATTTGTCTAGTGTTTGCACTTGTTCTCCACTGACACTTGAGCCTCACTGAGGCACTAGGGCTCTCTTGAAGCCAGGGCCATCCATACCACAAAATTAATCTTAAGAACAAATATACTTTGACTCGGTTTTCTACAAAAGTTAACCATATATGTTAACTTTTAAATAAAAAAATACTTGCCACAGTGGATATGAATGCACAGTCCCAGTCCCTAACAGCATTGAGCCACCTCATGATCCTCTCTGTTGTGACAGTTACACCGTCCCTGGTCAAGAAAACCAGAAGAGCATAACTTGTCGTCTCTACTGCGTGGGAGTCCCACTCTTCAGGCTCTCGTGGCAGCAGGAATGCTCTTTGGCTATTTTCCTGAAGTTTTAGGTGCGTTGTCATGGGTGTACGAGACCAGTATGTCATGTCACCTGTGAATTAAATGAGGAAAAGTTTGTCTGAAGAATTACATCAACATATTGGTTCACGTATGTGAGTACATTAGGCAATTATCATATCAATAATTAGGTTGAGAGAAGCATTAAAAATGACATATTCCCCAAATTTAATTTCAATAACTAAACATTAGAGGAATGGCTGAATAATGAAGTGAAAGACTGATTAAGCACACTGATAAACTAAAACATATAACTGTGGATAATGAAAAGGTTACTCAGTCAGTGAGGCTAAACTCCAATAAACCTGACTGACTAAAAGCTTCATGACCCTGACAGTTTCCTCATATCCATTTCAGCATCTATGACAACAATACTCAATATTATGCAATATTTAATATATGATATATACCTGAATATCTCATTTGTTTATTTAGGATGGCTATAGCTGTTTCAGCTGATGAGCTCCCAACTAGTGTGAGGGCATAGGCACTTATGGCAGTGTGATAGCAGTCATCAAGGTAAACTTGATGGAACTCTAGGAACCTGCAAATACACAAAAATCATAATTCTTAAATTGCATGTATTGTACAGTGAAGTCTCACTTGAATGGAATGCTTCACTGATCCAGAAGAAGATGTGAACTTTCTCCACTAGTAGACTTCTATCATTCATCACTACAACCAAAAGCAAGTCTTGTATTGAGAAAAAGATTCCATCTGGACTACATTATTTATTGTTACTGTAGTTTAAAATTTCAAAGGAAAAGTTTACATAATATCATACAATACATCTTAAATCAAACTCAAAGTTTTACATTTTCAACGACTTAGTTGTCATGATAACTCACTCAATAGCACGAGCACGGCTATCAACCGCACGTGTTCGAGTGGACCCCTGCAGAGAGCTTAGGCTATTGTGAATAACAATAGCTACCAGGGCTGTGAGGGGCACAGATGAATCCTTACCACTCTTCATCTACAAAATATTAATTCAAATTAAAGCTATACATTCTTTTCAGTTTTTATAATATACACCGAAATGATATGTTAAACTAGAATTGTTACAAACACCACAGAAAGCAGAACTTAATTACTGAATATGTGACAATGATCTATATATTTAGTGAACAAATGGGAACCTCTCCAAAGTAAAACAATACTGACTGGACAACTTGCTACAATAACCCACATGGGAAAATTTCAACTGTTAACATATGAAGTAAATAAAACTCCTCTAATAAGACTAAAATGGTGAATGCTACAAAAGTCATATTTTAGTATGATCCAACAAAGATCCATGAGCGAACAGTCCTATCAACATATGATAGTGATTATCACCTATCCACAAGTCTTATTAGGTATATTAAAAGAGTAAAATACTTTCATTATAAATCTGAAACAGAGCAATTTTCTTATCCATATAAATTAATATATATATTGTTACGGAAATCTCCTGCTTAGGCAAGGAGATCCTGCTTATTCCTTTACCGCATCTTCAACAACATACTGCATCTGCATACTCCAGTGTAAGAAATTAACATCAATAACAACAACAATACATGCCCAGAAGCCGTGTCTAGACAGATACTGTACCTCATAACTGCCTTCCAGCTGAAGCTGTAAATACTAATGACAATACTGTACTCCAGTTCAAAACTAAGCAGGAAAATCCTCAAATATTGGGAGGATCTTTGAGAAGATGTTGGTTTTCTGCCCCAGTCAAGAGCACTAAAGATGTGTCCCCAAAGTAAATTAAGGCAAGTCTAAACCAAATGTCTGAACTTAACTACAAAAAACAACATTAGAGTTACCTTGCTATCCAGGGTCATCTCTCCCTCCTCCTTAAAGCTGCCATCAGACTTCTGATACTTCATTAAGAACGTCACAGATTTCTGAATTATATGTGGGTCGATATACAAAAAGTTTTCCCAGTCCTCATGTTGGGCTGCCAGAAGAATGTTGAGAACTTTTGCTGTCAGCCTAAAACATGTATTAATTTAGCGTGGTTTTCATATTTCAATAACAAAAGATGAATTAGCGATTACACAAATGGAGTTATATAATTAACTGTACTGCGTGTATAGTATCATAAAAACACAGTATTGCAGTTATGTATTTCACAAATTACAGTCAAACATCAAACAAATTAAGCGCCAACACTGATTTACCAACGAATTAAATCCACCAATTCTTGCCAAATTATTGTAATTGAGATCTAATCATTTTTGAAAGATAATAAACCAAAAACAAGAAGTACAACTTGATATCAATACCAATTTCCAACTTCATTATTTATATATTAACATGGTATATATGTAATATAAATACAGTATATTATATATAGTACTGTAACAATAATTGATCATGCACAAGCAAACATGAAGTATGTCACTTAAATAGAGTGCATACATCATGAGCATACCATTCTTAATAGCGTGTTTACATACCATACACTGGGAGGAGTAAATGCCCACATGCTGAAGCCCCCATTGTAACAACGCCACAGCAGCCCACCAAGTTGGACAGTCAGGTAGTCAAATGCATCTCTTGCCTTCGACATCTCCAGCTGCAAGAACAAGCAGAATCAAAGGGTGTACAAGTGAGGGTGTTGATGTTGAGCGTGTGGCCATAGTATATAGTTGTGTGGGATGTGTTGGGGTACCAGAGGATGTAGTGGTGAAGGGGGAAGGGGGAGGGGGTGTCCACTGAGGTATCAATGTTATCAAAACTAATATATTTGTGTAGAATATATGTAATCAAAAGATCCATATACAAAACTGGAAATTCACAAAATAATAGTAATCAATATATGAATAAAACGATATAACGATTTAACGAATTTAAACGATTCTTAGCGGCAGGGGATCGTATTCCAGGGACCATAGGATTAAGGACTTGCCCGAAACGCTACGCGTACTAGTGGCTGTACAAGAATGTAACAACTCTTGTATATATCAAAAAAAAAAAAAAAAAAAAAAAAAAAAAATGTAACCCTCTATTTTGTGGTGCATATTACCCTTCTTTGGCACCCAGGCCAGAAAAGGGACCCCAGTCATATCACTGAGGAGCCACTCACCAAGGGCCCCCCACCCCTGTGCACAGCATGGTAGAGCTGGAAGTCCTGGGAATGATGAGTCGGGTTACAGACTCCAGCACCCAGTGTAACACAAAACTGCTCCACAAACAAACAAGGTCTCCAGTTTGGGGGCTCTCCTTAAACTGCCAAATGTGTGGGATTTGGCATGTACCCCATAGCAATTAAACTTGCCAATTAAACAGATGATAGTCTTTCAGATGCAAAGATGACCATGACTTCAACATATCGGGTCAAAGGTCAGTGGCCGTGTGCCAGATGATGGAAAATGAGACCAATCCGAGTTCAGATGGCTTGCCCACATGCGAGACATTTGTGGGGTGGGTGCTACTGCAGAGGTGGAGGTTATTCTAACTTTGCACACGTTACATTTCCTCTAGGCCTCTGCAGTCTGTCTATTTTCTGCTGCATGGGCCCCCTGTGGTGACTTTGGTTTTCCAAGTTGGATGGGCCTGAGGAAGTGACTCCCAAGTATTAGTGTTGATGTTGAATGAGGGAGGGAGAAATCCCTCCCTCCCTCTGGTAGGTAGTTTTCGCTCTTTGATATTCAGCCTCTGAACTGAGGTTAGGCAGCCAGCACGAGAGGTCTGGGGGCTTCTCCTTTCCCTTCCCGAGGAGGGAGGGAGCTGCACAGACAACGGTGCAGCGGCCGTTGTGACATCATGCTTGCTTGCTTGTTTTCAGATTGTGGAGTTCTGCTTGATAGTTCGGTTTTTGGTAGCAGTTTTAACCAGGTGGAGTCTGTTGTGGGACGTTTACCTTTCTACATGCCTAACCCGGTAGATGGCAGACATAGAATACAGTACTTCCAACCACATGGGGTTTCTATAGGCCATTGCTCCTCGTGCCTCTCTGAGGGGGCCAGGTTCTGGCTCGTGGTCCCCGGTAAGCTAGAACTCCAATCGAATTGACTGATGCCACAGTCTAATATATGCATATCAGTCCGGTATAGCTCCAGTAAGCTGGAGGGGCTCTCCACAGAAAAATAGTAATTTTTCACTCCATTCTAGTATTATACATGATACAGTACCTGATTTGTTAGTCGAAGGTAGTGAAGCGTCCATAGTGTTGCCCCAAAGTTGAAGGCGACACCATCAGTGCTCCGGAAATATCTTCCGCCAAATACCTGAGAATGATCCACCGAGATTTCGTCCATTGTTGGCCCAAATACATCACCTGTAATTATTTGTTAAGTGGCATGTCAGCAATAAAGGAATAATAAATTTGGGAAGAAAATAAAGAAATAGAAAGGTAAGAAAAATATGAAAATGATAAGAGGAAAAGCAAGATGGTGAATATAATAATAAATAATAGCATAGGACATTTTGCCAAATTTCAAATTACAGTACTATAATAAAAGATAACACAAAATTAATCCTTATGCCAGTGGTATACAGCATAATCAATGCCTATCTATTTCTCATTAAAACAAGAGTGTATGAGCTTGTTATATTTGTACCTCCATATATTTTCATACTTTTTTTACATCAAATTTCTATATATATTGCTATTTTTAAACTACAGTAATTTGTCTATATATTCTCATTTTAAATGAATGATGACAATTTATCCTAGAGTGAAAATGTAGTAGAATGCTGCATTAGAGATCAATAAGTGAAATACAGAATAGCTTTATGTAATAATGTAATAAGACGATATGTAACATTATGATGTAATGTTATGTAACATTACATAATTTTTATGTAGTTTATGTAATAAGACCGAAGCAGTTATCACATGAACATTTACTAAAAGTAAGAGAAAGGTGTCATTGATGACATTAGAAAAATTTGAAAATATTAAATTATTATTATTACCCCCATTTCCAACTTTAATGGGGTGGGAAGGCATCAACCCGGAGACAAATACAGCAGAGAGAACATTGAAACCCCTCTGTGTCGGGGAAGCAGCCATGGAGGCCCAGCTCAGTCAAGTAATATAATGAAGAAGATTATAGATATTAAAACTCATAAATAACAAACACATCCATTAAATCTGACAGATTCTATTTCATTGGATAAAAATATATCAAAACATCCCGACAAGATTCGTACATGCCCTTAATTGTTTTATGTGCAGGATACAGTATTTGAGTTTTTTTTTTTTTAAACTGATGTAAGATAAAAAGTAAAAATACCTAGAAAATTAAAGAGACAAATACAATACCAGGAAAATGAGAAAGTAATTCAAGATGTATAATGAAAATAATACCAGGAAAATATATCACAATTAATATCAATAAGATCAAGAGAGGTTCTTACCTGCTATAGTGATCCTGGCAGCTGGGGAGCCATAGAGAAAGCGCCTATAGATGCTCAGAGGGATGATAGGACTTTCATCGACAGGAATGTCCAGAAATTCATAAACCAGAGCACGGTTTCTTAGGTCCAATAGCAGTGATGTGTGCTTCCTGACTGGTACGCCTTCAGGCTTCACGAGAACAGTGTGGAGTTCAGTATTTTGTGCGTAATGTTGATACCTAAAATTATCATATAGCAACTGGTTAGGACAGCCAATTTGAGTTTACACTAAAATTCTCACCTTAACCTCAATTTCCCAAGTTTCAGTGTCTCTGCGAACTTGTGACAGAGCTTCCACAGTCACTTCTATCTTTCCTGACTGTCGCGTAACTGCTAGTGGCAGAACCACTTCCTTCGACCCTTCAGCAGGGATCTATGGCAGAAGAAAACTTCCTTGATATATCTGATGTTTTGTTCACACTCAAATGTCCCCATACTTGTAGAGGAAACCAAAAGTAAACTTTCAGGCAAACCAGACAACTGTGACACAGTAACTTTTAGACAGCGGCTATGGAGTTATACCTGTGTATGCACGATAAATTAAAAAAATTCCAACAAATAATTTTTCATTATAGAATTATTACTTTGCATGCAGAATGTAAGAAAAACATGAAAAATAGTGAAACAATAAATATTCACTTAGGTGGAGGGGCTCTGCGAGGCTGCATCTGGCACATGTCAATGCCTGGAGCCCGACTATGCTGATGCTTCCTGTTTTATCCTCCGATATTTCACTGATTGTTTTATCACTTTTTTTTCTATTTTTACATCCACTGATAGCTTTTAAATCCATATTTGCTTCATACATTTAAAACCCAGACAATAATTGTTTAAATCATCATATAATGATGACTGCATTCTTCTAGTAACATCCATAACGATAACTACATCTGAACCATAAAATTGATGCAGGATCTTTTTCCACGTGTCTAGGTAAACTCCATTACATCCACATATCCTTATTATATAATGTACATATTTGTATCATACATGTAAAACCCAGACAATAATTTGTTAACTCTTCATGATGATAACCGCATTACCCTGTGAATCAACAATTAACAATAACCGATGTCTAAGGGTTAATGAGAACTAAAAGTTCCCATAGTCAGAGAGACAGAAGGCTGTTAAGTTTATCAAATGCAACCCAAAAATGTTGTAATGACTGGTATGTAATTTCTTGTTTATATATTTATTAATCTAAATGTTTTACTAGTTAAAATACCAGTTTGTAATATTTTTTGTAATATTAATTCTTATGTTTCATTTGCTAGTGTTTGCATGTTAAATTGTTATGAGAGCATGTTTGTTTACATCTGTGTGTAAAGTAGATTTCTTACGCTTGTTTTTGTGAGGGCAGAATCCTCGCACAACCTCCCTTCAGAGCTGGAGCTAGTATTGGGCAGAGGTGTGAGGGAGTTGGAGGTGTTGGCCCTAGTTTTCTCCATGTAATTAAGTACAGTGCAGTAGTCAATCAAGTGATTTGATAAATTTATTCCGTGTTGCATTATGTTCCATTTCCAGAGTTGGTTTTTTAAAAAATGTAATGCACACCTTGGTGGTTGTTTTAAATCCTACAAATTCAAAATAGCACACAGACGTATGGATTTAGAGGGTGATCATGCACACAGACGTGTGGATTTAGAGGGTGATCATGCACACAGACGTGTGGATTTAGAGAGGGTATCCATATCTTTTCCTATACATGATGCTCTCAAATCGGAATCTCAAATTGAAAATAGACTATGAAGTAAATATTATAAGTCAAATTTTTCCTGGAGAAGTAAATGGGTTCAGACTACTAAAAGTAACAGTTAGCAAATCACTTTTGCTGTAACAAGTATAAAAGGGCTAAAAGTTCCCTTCCACAAGCTACTCTCTAACCCTTAATGTAACAGTTAATTGATGCAACAATTAGTGTGGCAACAGTTGTGAAAAGAAATATCAGTATTAACAGCTTCACTGAGATCAAAATATGACTAATCTGGGTATTACAAAAGCTGCAGTGTTCATTGCAGTGCAAAATAAAATGTGCACCTTACCACTACTTTATTCATTTCCAATTTAAAATGAATATGGATATACTTGCCCAAAAGTGATTAAAATGTATAAGGAAATGTGTATTAATGATATTAAAAACTATACCATGTATATTTAACAAATGAGGAACAGAAAATATACAAGATATTTATGAGGGAATAATAATCAACAAACAACAAGCCTTTAAATTAAAGATAGAATCCTGAAAAGTGCTCAAAATGTTTAATCCAAGTAACAAAAGAGGCTTCAAAAGTACGACTCTCAAAGAGCAAAAACGAAGGTTAATTCAAGTGCCACAAGAGGTCTCTATATTAAGACTCACGAAGAGTAGATGCTGGTGCTCGCCTCGGGACAAACGAGGATGAAAATGCTGCACGTTGCCATCTTTTTCGACGTGGATGAATCTGTAGTCATCACTGTCATGAAGTAGGAGCACTGCTTGAATAGCCGTATGTAGCATGTTGAACACAAGCACTCGTATTGAGATCTGTTAAGACACCAACATTCAGATACATGTACTGGTGGTGTGTAGGTTTAGAATATGGATTCACCGTCATCACATAATGGGAAAAATATATATGATATTGAAATGCAACAAAAATGTACATTACTTGTTATAACTAAATATCCAAACTTTAACATGAGACCAAATGTACACGTCATTCATATTCAAATGTATAATTTTTATAGTGACCATGTCAGTGAAATTTTACCCCTTAAAAATAGTTAAGTGTAATGAAATGCCCTCTCTTGGCACCGCCTTTGTAGCTTCCTTCTGCGTACTTACTAGCCGAGACAGGATAAATTAGAGTAATTCTACGAGGTGCTTGCAAAAGACTACCTGACAAAAAAGCCCTTTAAATTTCCACATGTCCTGTCCTTGGGATGCGAGACACTCCAAGGATTAACACATTTCAGAGGATAATCTCTCAGAGAATCACAAAACATTTACCATCTAAGAAATGTTTTAATGAGTGCTGAACTATAAAAACAAGGTTGTTACAACAAACTAACTTGGTTAAAAATCAGATGTCTTTAATCAAGGGTGCCCACCATAAGTGTTTTTTGCCTAGGGCCCATTAATGACCTAATACTAGTCTGCAGATAGACTGGCATAAGTTTTAACTGATAGAAAGCAAGATGACATATTTCCAAGAGGCTCACCATGGACACACATGTGAATGGTGTCTATGCTTAGCAATCAACAAATATTTGAAGATGGACTTCTACCGAACATAAAAAGAAAGGCTTGATCTTGGCAATCTCCTTCGCAGTACACTGATACCGATCCTTACAAACACTGTGTGACTTGCCTGCTCTCCTCTGCGACACACAGAAGGGCCTTCAACCAGTATGTAGAAAGGTGGATCACCAGCAAACTGTGTATGCAAAAAAATGAAACAATAAGAATACAGTAGTTTATTTTTCTTAAATGTCTTGTACAGAAAAAATGGCTTAAGAAATAAAAATACAATACATTTAAAACCTGACTGTACTACTGGGGGTCCCAGTAGTACAGCCAGGTTTGTTCTCGACTCGCAATCAAGAACTCTGGGTTTGAATCCCGGGTGGGGCAGAAATGGTTGGGCGCATTTTCTGTCACCTCGTGCTTCTGTCCACCTAGCAGTAAATGGATACCCAGGAGTTAGTCAACTTCTTGTAGGGATGCATCCTGACAAGGGTCAGTAATTTGACCATAAAAGGGGGCCCTTGATACAAACCTAGAAATATAAAATTTTAGTGCCCTAATATCCACTAGACAAGGGTTAAGCAAACCCAAGTCTCTGATCCACACACATACAGTAAATTCTAAAACTGTACCAACCAAAGGAGGGTGCAAGAGAGTGTCTGGTCTCGTGTTTATCTGCTCGTCTTCCCCTGCTGGTCGGTTGCCTCTCCTCTGCCATTTACCCTGATCTCTGCCGTGTTGTAGGGGGTACTGAAGCCACTACAGAGTTGTTGGAATGTTTACATGCATATTTAGCTTGCCAAATTACATGCCAAATTTAGCTTGTCACAGGGACAGCAGTACCTATGGCGAAGTGATAATACACTCACCTGGCACTTGGCGAGGGCTTTGGCCTGGGTTCGTATCTTGGCCAGGGAGGATTGACACGGGTGCCAATCCTTAACTGTAGCCTCTGTTCACCCAGCAGTGAATGGGTACCTTGTTGTTAAACGATTTAGCGGGTCGTATTCCTGGGAATATTAGGATTAGGGACATGCCCGAAATGCTACGCGTGTTAGTGGCTGTATAAGAATGTAAGAACTCTTGTATATATAGATAAATATATAAAATATAAATAAATATCAAGGGATAAAAGCATGAAAGGACACGAGTATGGATAGATGCACACCTGGATGGGCACAAGCAAAAAGACGGATGAACTCAACTGTACATAAATACTCTCCCACATACTGAATGGGTGACTGATCAAATAATTTAAATGAAAGTGTTGAATTTGGCAGAACTATTTAAAGCTTCAAAACATCACATAACAATTATAGGGAAGACGAGGTACTATGAGCATAGATCTCATCCCGCAGCTTCACCTGGGTAATTACACGCATGGATGTAGGATGAGATAAATACAAACATGGATAAACACCAGCATGAATGTAAAGAAACATGAATGAATGGAAAAACACACATTAACATTCCCAACAGTATACATCATTCAATTTAGACATGAAAATTATTATAACAAAATAAACATATATTACAGCTCACAATTATGGGTTGCTTGGTGAAGGAGAGACCATAATCAGAATGAATGGCATATCCCTCTATCACCCATTCGTCCACAGTCTTTGCTATTTCTCGTTGCAGCTCCTCTTGCCCACGGTGGCCTGCGCACAGTTACAAGTTGGACTGTTGATTGCATTACACATCATGAAGAACATATAACACTTAGGCAATACAAAAAGGACATTTCTGAGCTATTATGTATGGTAAGACCCTACGGCATATGGAAGAGAATGTGTGCAAGGGGATTTATGGAATTAGAAACTTAATAAAAAACCTCACTGGAAGAAATATCAAGCTGTTTTTACTGCCTTTGTTGCTCTTGGCAAGAACATTTCTCCTTTCAGAATGAATAAATGTACTGTAGCTTTTTCATTTGTAATAGTGAAGACAAGTGAAACACACACCCAAGACATATGGTCGCAAAACTTTAGCATCAAAGACCCGTGAAAACAGGACAAGCAGAACAAATTTATGTCATTTTCAATAATGTCTTAAGTTAAACTAAGTAAAAAAAAAATACAATATGAAAGAAATAAAAAGAAATACAGTATAACATATAAATCATTAAGTAAAACTATAATCCGATTACAGTACTTGCATACCAATCAAGACTTCCGAGTTGCACCAGTTGACGTCATCTTCGTCAAATATGTCCACAATGAAGTTGGTTCTCAAAAGTCGAAAAAGCGAGTCTGAACTTAGCTCAAGTGGGTCTGGATGCAGTGTCAAAAAAAAAAAAGAATAATAATTGTGTGATATTAGTACCAGAAATGAAGAAATAAAAATACAAATCATGTGCTGAACATAATGAAATGCCCTTTCCTACTGACCATTTAGTGGCTACATAAAGCTATAAGAACAGGTCCAGGAACAGGCCTTGATGAGATGCATCATGTCTCTGAGACCCAGAGTCATGGTCATAGTGAGAGCCAGGGCCTAGAATCTGGCTCTATGACACGAGCTTAAACTGTACCAAAGAATAGATAAATTCACTTCAACATGTACAGATAAGGACAACAGCTAATTTCAGGAAGTAGAAAACCTCTCTTATGAAGAGATATTAAGAAAGCATTATTTAGATTCTCTAGAAAGCTGAAGAGAGGAATGATTTTATTGAATTAAGCAAAAGAACAAAAGGGTATAACAAAAAGGTGATATACAGTAATTATAAAGAATAAATAAAATTTATATTCAGAGGAGACCTGAATATATAATGGTTTGGATATAGGGTTGTTGGTTTATGGAACAAATTACTGGCAACATAATAGATATTGGACCACTGAACTGTTTTAAGCAAGGATTATGACATATATATCTGGATGAGTTTGAATGGATGTAAATAGTAGATGCCTTGCATGGGCCAATAGGCCTTCAGCAGTTATATATATTTTTATCATAAAACATGAAGGGAACAAGATCAATGAGAGCCAGCTGTTGATATATATTCTTGGTGGTTTACATCGCTCCTGGCATGGGAAGCACTTATGGCATCTTGGCTCAGAAGACCCTTAAAGGGAGCAAGTAAATGTCGCTGAAGAGTGCACATTGTATATATACATTTTAAAGTACTGTGCAAGATTTAAAAGTCCCGTGGCTACATGGGGGTTCACATCTGCTTCCTCGGGGCTCTCGTAAATAGATGCCATTTAAAAAAAAAAAATCGTCGGCAACATTCCTGGGTGCAAGCGCCTCAGTACCGTGTGAGCAACCATGGCTGGCACATGCAGCACAAGCTAACAGCACTGCTGTTCAGCTTGTGACCACAGCATCACCTAAAAATGTCAAAATATATATGTAACTGGTATTATTTAGCCATGATAGTATTACAGAAGAGACTGACTGTGATAAAAGACTGTACAATGTTCAGATATCGGTGAACACAATGCTGTTCAAGATGTTCACAGTGCTAGCCACAGCACACTGCCATTGTTTGGTCCATCTAAGATTTTTTAAATTACTTTTCATGTTCATTTACAAAATAAACTTGTGGAAAATTATTCATTTACAGGATTTAGTGACCAGAATTCCGATAATAGCAGGATTGTGGTGAGAACTAGCGATGTGCATAGTATGGTGGGAGGAGTAATCTTGGCGAGGGAGGAAGGGAGAAGTGGCGTCATCTGCTGACTGTGTGTGGTGACCCCTCTGTTATTGTCTGGACTCGCTATACCAGCTTAGTGGTTCTCTATAGTGAACACAAATGTAGATACTAGTACTTATATATAACATGTGCATATAGTGTAGTAGTAGACATCCATCAGTCTCAGGAGACTATGGAGCTGCGCTCTGATGTCGGCCTGGTCTGGAGTGGCCTCACCAGGGCGTAAAGCCAGGGTAGGTTGATTCGGGGAAGAAGCTGTTACCCAGGCAGCAGGTCCCCTCTCTCCACGGCGCTGAAAGTCTCCATGTAATAACAGCAAAAGGAGTATGTTGGGAGGAGTCATTTTGGTGAGGGGGAGGTGGCATCATCTGCTGGCTGGTGTGTGACTTGTGCAGTGTATGGTTGTCACTATCCTGTTTGGACACCATACCAGCTTAGTTGTACAGTTATAGTGAATAAAACATGTAGATACTTATATATAATGTGTATATAGTGTAATAAAATCACAAACAGTATTGTGGGAGGAAGAATGTTGGCGAGTAAGGTGTTGAAGGAGAGAGGGAGGTACCGTCTGTTGGCTGGTGTGTGGTAGCTGTTCTTGTTTGGATTCATCATACCATCTTAGTGGTTCGCTATGGTGAAAAAAACACACAGATACTTATATGTAACGTGTGTATATAGTGTAATAACAGCAAAACTATTTGATCCATGCACCCGGCCCTAACAGAATCCGAACAGGAGACAACAGTCCTCCGAGCAGGGGCAGAGGATCCAGGGCGCAGACGGAAGTAGTCCAGAAGAACTGCAGACTGGAAAAACTCATGACTGCAAAGAGCAGACGGGAAAAGCTCATGACTGCAAAGAGCAGACGGGAAGCCCAGAAGGATGGGGCGGATCGACCACGCCCCACGCACCCACGAAGAGGAAATGACGAAGCGCAGGGAAGAAGCCCACCCCGCCAGCTCTGAACCCCCCCCAAGGGGGAGAAGCCGTCCTCCGACGCCAGCAGAGGCCGGAAGACAACCCAAAGCGCCCACCAACAGCGGGACCAAGCGAGAGGCAACAGAGCAAGCTGCTCCCCCAGCGCCCAGTCAACAGAGAAGGGAACAGAACCCCTTCAGAAAGAAAAAGTACACTACCGAAGTCATGAGGAGAGACTACGGGAAAGAAACCACACTTCGCTGGAAGAGGAAGTGAGGGGAGACCTGATCACCACATACAAGATACCCAAGGGAATCGACAGGGTTGAGAAGGACAGGCTATGTAACACAAGGGGCACACGCACTAGGGGACACAGGTGGAAACTGAGTACCCAAAAGAGCCACAGATAGAATTAGTTTTTTTTTTTTTTTTTTTTTTTTTTTTTTTTGTGAGTGTCAGAATGGGAACGGGAAAGCACTAAGAAGTAATGTGGCGACTCCTCACACAAGGAACGAGGCTGACCCCCATACAATGTCACATGTAGACATGACAGAGCCCAAGAGGCACAGGAACCGATACACCTGTTGACGGACGGTTGAGAGGGGAGGACCAACCAGAGCCAGAGCTCAACCCCCACAAGCACAACTAGGTGAGGACATAGTGTAAAAGCACAAGCCGCCGACTAGTGGCAAAGAGCACTACGCCGGCCAGGCAAAGAAGGCACAAAACTGCATCAAAAGGCCCACCTCGACAGCAAAACCACAAAGTCCCAGCACAACCACAACATGTGCCAAGACCCAAAAAGCTCAGTCTGCAAGCCAGGAAGACCCCAGAACCCCAAAAGGCCAGAACCGGGTCACATGAGGAAACAAAGTCCCCTGAACCCACAAAAGGGGGCCCAAGAGGAAGAAAACCTCCAGAACGAAACCAAGGAACCCAAAGGAACCCAGAATCGAACCAGGGGGAGCCCAAACCACCACATTTGCCAGCGGAGAACACCACTAAAAGGCAAAGCACAGACCCCAGCAGAACGCCCTGGGAAAACGGTCCCAACAGACCGAAAAACCGAGGGGCAAGGTGTGGGAGCAAGCATACCAGCCAGGGGCACTGAGCCTAAACCCAGAGGCTCAGACCCAAATCAACACCCAAACGTTCCCAGAGAAACAGGCAACGGCAAGAAAACACCAGAAAAACAAAGAAACGACAACAGGAGAACAAAAACCCTGCAAATTTTTTGAAAACTCACCAGAGACGCTCGCTCGCACACTCAGGCGCATGTAAACAAACCGCAACGCCGCCCTGGTGGCCACGCCGGGAAACCGGCAGACGAAAATGGCCGCCAGCAGGGGCTGTGACTGACGCTTAATACACAAAAACACGCCAGCAAATGTGGGAAGCTAGCAGACTGGAAGGGCGCGAAAAACGACGCCCAACAGCAGAAAAACCCCTGAAGGGGCAAAACCGCCCCAGAACTGCTAGTAGGCATCCCCCACAGCCCCGGGAAAAAAACAACAGAGGCCCCCGGGCAGAGCCGTCCTCCAAGCCCTCCGCCCTGAAAGAAAAGCAAGAGCCCATGGGAAAGGCAACAAGAAAGGGCCGCTGGTAAGACCCAGAAGCCTTGGCAGGAGGCACAGGCTCAAACCTCCGTCCCCAACCCGAACGGGGCATCCCCCGAAAACCGCCCGAGTCTCTGCCGCAACTGAAACCCGCCCCGACCCAGAAACACGCAGACGGTCCGGAGCCGGGAACATGGAGAGAAAGGGGCGAGCAGCACCTAACCAAACGGGGCGGCCACGGGGCATTCGAGTGGGAAACCAACCTAGCATGTTGCAGCAACCTAACCTAGCTTGCAACACGGATGCCGCCTGTACTCTGAACAGTAATAACATCATGAGAGTACTGGAGAACAAGCAGAGAATCACTCGCAAGACTCCGGGTCAAGGTGTCAGTGACCCAACAGGCAGCATGACGGAGGTAAAAATGGCGACTGTCACCCGGAGACAAGGGAACAGCAACCAACGATCCCGTACAAGACGGGTTGGAACCCGGAAGACACAGTCAATGGTCCCCCGAGCCCCGACAGGGGTTTCCAGGGCCCGTAGGGTAACAACTACGGGAAGCCCGGGCAAGGTGTTGCTAACCGGTTTAGAAACCCAAACATAACAAGAGGGTAGATTATAGCACTGAAAACCCTCGAGACGTGTACAAGCACGGGGGCCTAGCAGAGGGCCGCCCAACACTACCAGTGGAACTATAACCACCTTAGGCAGACCCCCACCAGGCAAGAAAATGAAAAACAAAAGAAAAACCCCGCAAAAGTACACCGTCTCCAGAGGCAACAGAAACCGGCCGCCGCTTAGGTGGCAGGCTGCGCAACACCTTGACGCCCTAACCAGCACAATACCAATCCCTACCCAGGGCCAAACAAGGGCCCCAAGCCCCAGCTGGCCCCAAGGGCGAGGCAAATGCCGAGCAGCAAGAACCTCTACGGGAATGGTTCCCGAACGCCCCAGGGAAGATAACCCTGTAACGCAAGGGCAGTACTCACAGGGCGCTTAGGGAAGGCAGCCACTAAGCACATGCAGCCCCGGCACTGATGAAGTACTCCTGGCCACCGCACACCACAAACACACGGCAGTGAACGCCACACAAGGCAAGGTGAAAAAAACACACAGATACTTATATGTAACGTGTGTATATAGTGTAATAACAGCAAAACTATTTGTTTGTTTTATGAACATAATTGAATCACTAATATGCACACCATACTTTTGAGAATAGCAATGGTTCACACATTTTATTATATAAATATAAAACACTACACACTATTGAATAATATTACTGAAAAAAAATAAATCAGACATTGAAATAATTAGGTAATAATATCTTTGTGGCAACTCCCGCCTGACAGCGCGGGTGGAGGAGACCGCTGTGGAACATTTACTCTGTCAGCACCTCAATTATGCCAGACTTCCTCACCCTATTGCAGCCAAAATATGTCACCTAGGATTTGTTATTATTATTTTTTTCCCGTGATCAGGGAACACATTTTAACAATCTTAGAAGAACAAAAAAAAAAATTTGAATTTTTTTATATCTTTCAGTGCTGAAGGCTATTAAGACAAGTGCCCTTTAAGGATTAAGTCACAACTTAAAACAATTCACAACTCACCAATCTGTTTCTCATGCTGGGGTGGAAAATCTTCATACAGTCTCTCGCCTGAATGAAAACAACGCACAGTATCAAAACACAAAGCATTCTCATATATATAAAATGTAGCTACAGTATTCTATCATGAAAAGGTACAGAAGTTGTACTGCATGCCCAAATAAACTATGGTCAGGTTATGTAATGTCACTGTAAACTAATACAAATATCTGTTAATCTTGGAAGACGGTAAATGAACAATGTAAAGAATCAAGTAGAAATCAATTAGAGCTTCCATGAAGCTTAAAACTCAAAATCATCTCATCAACATTCAGATAAGTAAATATTGTATTAAATAGGGCAATACCTGGTGAGGCACTGATAGTGAATGGTAGAGCAAGTATAGTATTGATGCTCAAAAAAAAAAATTCATTAATATTAACACTAAGTGAATGATAACACTGAATTATAGCACCGAGTGAATTATGATGATGATGATAATTATAGCACTAAGTTGATAATGATGATAATTACACAATTACAGCACCAAGTGAATGATGATGATGATAATTATAGCACCAAGTTGATAATGATAATTACATGATTACAGCACCGAGTGAATGATGATGATGATGATAACAATAACACTGAGTGAATGATACCAGTGAGGCAGACATTCCACCTAAAGATCGGTATGTGATATACTGGTCAAATATAATGGAATGCCAATGTTTGGGACAGTAAGCCTATTAGACTTAACTGTCAGCCTAGCAAGTAGAAAGGCTGCCTGCATGGACACCATCCAGTTACTGGCCATAACCAATTAGGCTTGTGATAAAGACTGACTTAGGCCAGTTAATAGGCTTAACCTGGCTGACGAACACATTATCCACTACACCACTCCATTAGGCAAGAAGATGGAGCTTCCACAAATGGAAGCTTAGGGTTAAATACTTTATATTATTGGACAATTTAAAATGTCTATTTTTAGTTACATAATTTACGTACTTAAATTATACCTCCCAATTCTTGGGGGGAATCAAGCTATGTCCTCTAAGAAAATTAATATTTATCAAGTCAAAATGACTCAAAATGACAAAGTTTGATAACAAAATTATATTATTTATTAACATGTAATATACAATGAGTTGTATTTTTAGTTTTTTTTGTGATTAACAAATACTCACTAGCAAAGTTGCTGACAACCCACATCAAAGCATAAAATTGAGGGTTACCACTCGCACACAAGTTCGATAGTAAAATTCAAACTTATAAATATCCTGCTAAGGAAGCAACTCACATCCTAGTTCATCCATGGCATTGGCACAGTGGATCCTGCCATCACACAGATGATCGTGGAGGAAGCAGGAGCCATCCCCACATTCCAAGTAGCCCCTGCTCAGATCACACCTGTGTTCTGCAAAGCATTGAAAGTGGCATCATTTTATCTCAAAAATGAACAATCTGCAAATGACTAATCATATTGGATATAATAAAGTTGTGTGAAATTATTCTCTGAAAAAAGACGCACATTTTCAAACTTTTGAAGACCGTATTTATGTACAGTAACCTGATACCCACTATTTCTAGTGGCCATTGCCAGCAGGGACAGGACACCTGTGGCCTGTGAAAGGCTACCACATTTTCCTCAGGATTTTTCCATGCTATACATTGAACCTTAACACTGTCTAAATACTGTACTGTATTTACATCTTTGGCAACTCTGATATGCCATTGGTTTATTACCATAGGTAAACAGTATCTCCAGTTTTCTGTTGTATTATTTCCCTGATGAGAATCTAATATAATAAGCTGTACATGTTTATGTTTCCACAAATAGTTATTAGACTGGAAAATGCTCATTAATAATGACAAATGCAAGGCTTTACATACAGGGCATAACGTTGCAACAGACTGAAAGGAAGAGAGCTCGAGAGTCTCTTGAGTAATGACTCACTGGTCATTCAAAGCTGCCAAGTGAGTAGAAGCTATTGGAAACGGTCAATGAAACCCTATGAATAATCAGATAAACCATTGACTCCAAGGAAAATTGATTTTTCACCTAATTGTACAAATCTCTGATATGCCTTCCATTTGGAATACAGTACTGCATCCAAGAATGGAGACCTCGCATGCATAAATATGCTTCTGCAAGGAGAGATTCATTGAAGTGATAAAAATCCTAGGACTAAATCAACTCATACCTGGAAAGGTTGATGGCCTCAGAACTAATTAATAATGCTGCAAGCATGACATAACAAGGCTAATCTCATGAAGACCTTCAAAACACAGCAAATTACAAAATATTTTTCTAGACCACTTCCATAAAAAATCCAAGATAATGCATACAAGAGGCAACAGTTTAAAGCTCAACAAACCACAATGCAAGACAGAAAATGGCTATTTTTTCACCCATTGGGTGATAAACCCATGAAAACATTACTCCCCAAAGATATAAATACCAAGATTTGGTATTTACTTTGGTTCAAATTATATGGAAAAAATCCTCAGGAATAATAGGGTACCAATCACAACTCACTGGCCCTCTGTTCCCATTCAAGCCACGAGAGATGGTGGCCATATAGTAAATTCAAGTAAATGTGTGTAGTTACTTTGGCTCATAATTACAGAGATTTATATATTCCATTGTTAAGAACAGGAAGCCTGATAAGCTTATCTAGATACACCTAAGGCCTAAGCCAACAATTGACCTTCTCGAGCCCCTGCATTGCTCACCATTTAAATATAACAACCCCATAGTGCTCACAACAAAAATTGTTCTGACAAAATTATGTTTTCTTTTGATATTGTTAAGTAGTATCCAGGAAGTACAAAAATCCAAGTAAAAAGTGTCTACCTCTTGTAGTTTAGCTGTAGTGGCCCGGATACGGGTGGAGTTTTGAATATAATGATATACGCACAGGCACCTTAAGGCACTCTGCACAGTGCAGTGGCTAGGACGCAACCCACAATAGTTAACTCCCAGGTATCTATTTACTTTTAGGTTAACAGAGGCATCAGGTGTAAATAAACAAGCTCAAATACATTGTCCAGCATCTGTTGAACCAGGGACCTTCTCGAGGGCCTTGGTTCGAGGTCACTTGGTAAACAAAAATAAAAAGCTCTCGTAGAGTTTAAGACCAAGATACATATACAAAAATATTATACTGACAAAATAATTAAGACCCAAAAAGGATAATTGTTCACCAAAATTTTGTTAAGGGCAGTAGGGGGGTACAAACCTCTGCCAGGTGTGAGGTTTACTGTGGAATCAGAGAGAAGTACAACTGCAGCATCCTGGAAAGTAGCAAGGACATCGCTGGCATAGCTGTGGGCAGCCAACGATACTAGACGGTCAGCAAACTCTCCTTCACCGGACCGGTGAAGAACCCGATGAAATGTCCTGCAGCATGAGAGGGAAGGTTCATATTCTAAACAAGTAATTCTGCATAAACAGAAAATAATGGATACTGCAAGTTGCTGTGAAAGTAACAAATACGGTACAAAGAATTATTGTAAAAATGACAATAGCTGTGAATACTTATGGTTATGAGAATTGCCATAGAATTAAGAAATATTTAAAGTGTTAATAATAGATGGACGAGAAACCTTAGCTAAATGAAAAAACAATCACTATACTGTATTAGGCATCTATCTAATTGTATAAATTTAAGAGTGCAAAATTTACTGTATAGTACCACATTAAAGAGGTGGGAAGATCTTGATTAAACTTTGATTTAACATTTGATGTTGATTCAATGTCAAACCAACACCACTCCTGGGTATTATGCCCCACTGGGAAAGGCCTTGGGTTAACTACTGACCATAATGTGTCTGTTTAATGGCAGGACACAGTAAAGAGTGAGCATTTTGATCACCACGCTCACACTCAGAGATAAAACCTGCTATATTTTATGAAGGATCCCAAGTTCAATCCCCGGGCAGGACATAAATGGTGGTGCACTTTTCCTGTCACCTGATATCCTAACAGTGAATAGGTACCCAAGAGTTATGCTACTGTTGAGAGTTGCATCCTGGGGAATGGTCAGTAGTTCAAGCTAGTAGGACCTCAAGGAGCCTAAGTAAAGGCATCCTGTCTCCAACAATAGATTTTGCAAACAAATCAGCTAACTAAAAGTTCTCTGAATAAATAATATACTTGCTAGGCTTATACATAAATTGCATAATAAAAACTCATATCTGACCATCTCAATTCAATCTGCAAACATGCCATACAAATGAAATGACAAATTCCTTCTCTGATGAAGTACTGCAAAAATTTGTTATTCAAAAGTAATCTTAAAAAAACATAAGTGACATACAGTAATACTTGATTATTACCACCAAACGGTTAACTAATAGGTATGGTAATGTAAACAAGTATCCTGGCCGGGGAGGATTTACTGGGTGCAAATCCTTAACTGTAGCCTCTATTTAACTCGACAGTAAAATGAGTACTTGGTTGTAAAAACGATTCTTTGCGGCGGGGATCGTATTCCAAGGACCTGCCTGAAACGCTACGCGTACTAGTGGCTGTACAAGAATGTAACAACTCTTGTATATATCTCAAAAAAAAAAAAAAAAAAAAAAAAAAAAAAAAAAAAAAAAAAAAAAAAAAAAAAAAGTGCCACCGTTACCTCCATGTGGTGCTCCCTGGCTTGCATTAAACATGAAGGCACTAACTGGCCCTGAAGAGCAGTGGCAATGTCCTTGGTACACACTATAGGATCCCAGATTCAATCCCTGTATGGGACAGACAGTTCAGCACATTTCCTTTCACCTTATACTTCTGCTCACCTAACAGTAAATAGATACCCAGGAGTTAGGCAACTGTTGTGGGTTGCATCCTGGGGCAGTTCAGTAGCACACCTCCAAATAAATAATATACAGTACACACACACACACTGCATAACCCATGCCTAGTTCCCAACATTACAAAAATACAACAATAATTTAAAACAGTTACAGGCCATGGTTGTCCCACCTTTGTAATGGTTCCATCTTTGCCATCATGTCAGTGATGCGGGCATGGGTGGGAGCGTTAGGGTGCTGCCTGTGGTAGTTGAGGCCACGTTGGCAGAACACAACATAGAAGGACCCTGCCGGAGCACCCACCACCATCTCCACCGTTTTCTTTGTGTGATCCTTATGCTGGTTCAATGATAGCTGCACCTGCAAAACACCACAAAAGCTTGGCATGCATAAAAAGTCTTAAAAAATACAGTATATTATATATACAATATACTATACTTTATCCTGAAATATCAAATTTCAGGATAAAGTTTAAAGATAAAGTCACAAATTTAAGGCCATCAGCAAGTATAACACAAAATCATTGAATGACAATGACCACATCAGTACCCTGTATTAATATAGGCTGGCTGGATCTGCAAAAAATAAATTGCATCCCTCTACTCATTATGCTTCTTATCCCATTTCAAAACGATGACTAGTCATCAAAATTTAGGACGAGCCACAAAATAACAATTTGGGGCTGATCATACCTATGGAAGCTACCTGAATTTACTGGATCTATAACTTTGCTTGGGAAGTAAAGAAAGTATTAATGCACAGAACTCCCCCTCCCTTAATACAGTAAAACTGCTATTGCCTCTCCATGCCACTTTGCATGACATTATCTTAACCATCATGATTATTGATAGAAATAATGCTCATGACTAGCGGCTTTTTAAACATTTTAAAGATCCACTATGAAAGCACTGTAATCAAATCCTCAAATTAAAAAAAAAAAAAATTATTATATATAACCAAGTAATGACAGACATTTCTTTTTTTACCAAGTTGGATCAATAAGGGTTCCATTTGTACAGCTGGGTTCGTTCTCTACTTTCAATCAAGAATTCTGGGTTCGAATCCTGGGCGGGGTAGAAATGGTTGGGCACATTTCCTATCACTTAACGGCCCTGTTCCCCGAGCAGTAAGTAGGTACTCAGGAGTTAGTCAGCTTGCTCTGGAGTTGCAGCTGGGGCGTGGTCAGTAATTTGACCTTGGGGGGAGGGGGGGGTGAAAGACTTCGATACAAGCCTAACATGTATGAATACACACTGGCTGCCTGTCCCCCAACACAATGGATTAAATATTAAAAGTATCTGTGGAAATCAACTGTTTTTAATACAATAAAAGGTGGGTAGGAATACCAGGATTCAGGGTTGGAGCCTAGTACTGGAACCAGGGGATCTTTAGTGTCGTACAAGGTACTGTACTGTGTTTTTATGCACAACAGGATAAAATATGAGGCAAATGTAATGTGTCACTGCTACTCATTTTGTTTGTTAAGGCTGCAGATGAATTTCAATATTCATAATAAATGAATTCTACATTGTAAGATAAAATCATAGAACAAACACAATACCCCAAGTGGTACGAGCTATGAGGATAATGTGCCACTGAGCACATGCTTTGGACCTCTACAGATTAAAACACACTGAAGTACTAGCAAACCTGCTAAAACAGGGCCAGAATGCAACACACACACATCCACTCCTCAAGGCCTCATGAACTTTAAAGTGCAGTACCCAAGGCTGAACAGGGCCACAACATCCTCACAGAGTACAGCACCATATCTGAAAATACCTGTACCGTATTGAAAAAGTGCATTGCTCTTCAAGGTTGGAAATAAAGAGCCACAGCCCTATACAGTCAGCAACTAAAATGCATGACACCCCATAGACCGGAACTAAAAAAAAATAAAAAGAGCAACACCTCTATGATTGCTGCACACTAACAGGAGACAACTGAAATGTGCAGTACAACATCAGGCAGCAGCCAAAATGCACTGCACCCTAAAGGGCCACATTAAAAAAGTTCAATGCATCAAATGTCTTGAAACAAAAAGGCAGTGCCACAGTGCATAAACAGCCTTTTTATGTCTGCAAAATTATAAACACTTATTCGTTACCATTTAACAGATGCTGAAATACACAATACTGTACAATAATAACTCATCCCATGTTATAAATGATACTACTAATTTACCTTTATGTTACAGAAAATGCTGTTATCTCTCCTCCATTTCACAGAAGATATTTATATTTTACCCACACTATACTTACAGAAGACACTAACACCTCACCTCCATGTTTTCAAATATTCTGACCGGCAGAGAAATGGCATCAGCGAGGACCTCGCCATCATTAGTGATGGTGTAAACAAGGATGGTGAACCTTGGGGCCATAGAGGAGGCAACCGCTATGCTTATAGTCACCACATCATCACCATGGGACATCTCACTTGCCGAGTAAACCATCACACCTTTGGAAATGATCTGTTAAGGAGGAGAATGCAAAAATTGGTATTTGAAAAGATGAAAGGGTACAAATAAAAATCCCTCAATTGATTTAAATTTAGAAGAGGACAAATTCAACCTAATGGCTGTTGAAGCAATACAAATCTACAGATATTGTTTAACCAGACCACACACTAAAAGGTGAAGGGACGACGATGTTTCGGTCCGTCCTGGACCATTCTCAAGTCGATTGTGATACATATATTGTGGTGTTTAAAGAAAGGCAAAAGTAATGAAAAGGCTCCTGAAAAAAAAGTAAAATGTAAACATGGTGATATATTGATAAAACATGAATATGGCAATTTATGAATCATTGTAATGCTGTGTCTGAAAGTGACATAAAAGGGGCCATGATATGTGGAAGAGGCATTATCTTGAGGTTATCTCAAGATATCTTGAGATGATTTGCATTCTAGAATAGGCAGCAGATTCTAATACAATGGTTATGCTCTCCTACACTACTCTAAAGTATTGAATGATAACACACAAAAATCTTGCTTTTATATAACTCTTATAAGGAAAGCTAGTACAAATTGGACACTGACCATATAAACAAACTGTTGTACTGAGATGCTGCTTCGAATATGGAAGATAGCAAAGTCTCCCACCTTGGCCTCATCTGTACTTGAGCTCACTTGAATATATCTGTCAATGTAATAGAAATCTCTATTGAATTCAATTCAATTTCTTTCTTTATTATGCACCCCATACCCATCCCATGGGGAGTGGTGGAATAGGTTACAGAGGCACATAATTGGTTCAGAAACTGAACCCCATACAGTAGTTGATTTAGCTAAGCAAATGACAATCTTTTGAAGCTAGTTACACAGCTTGATGCCAGAAAAATAACCCTTTCCATAAGTTTTTTTTTTTAATTTACACTTACAAAGTCCAGCAAAAACCAATGGAAATATTGAAGATTCATGAAATAATTAATAATTTGATTTGGGATAGGCAGCCTGTGTGTTTATACATGTTAGGCTTATATTAAGGTCAGGGGGCTTGACAGCCGAGTGGACAGCGTTTCGGATTTGTTGTCCTGAGGTTCCAGGTTCGATCCCCAGTGGAGGTGGAAATAAACGGGCAGAGTTTCTTTCACCCTGATTCTCCTTTTACCTAGCAGTAAATAGGTACCTGGGAGTTAGACAGCTGCTATGGCCCGCATCCTGAGGATGTGGAACAAAATGGAAGAAGCCTGGTCAAGGACCAGGCTGTTGGGATGCTAAGCCCTGAAATCATCTCAAGATGACCTCAACAATCTCAAAATCTAGGTCCTCCCAAGGTCGAACTACTGACCCTTACCAGGATACAACCCCACAAAAAGCTGACTAACTCCTGAGTACCTAGTTACTGCTAGGTTAACAGAGACATTTGGTGATAGGAAACTTGCCCAATCATTTCTGTCCTGCCTGGGATTCAAACACGGAATTCCTGATTATGAGTCGAGAACAAAGCCGACTGTACTGTATTAAGAAGGAAGAAAAATAAAATATAATTTGCTTTGGATAGAAATAAAAAAGTGTAAAATGTAAACTTGGTGAAATATCAATAGAAATACAGTACAATATTAAATACTGTATATACATTGAAGAATTTTAACGAGTAAAGAAAAAATTAGATGGTGTAGAGACAACTGAAAATTTATTAAATGGGATTGATGAATGAAGTGTAAAGGTGAAGATAACTGGTTTTGCTAGTGTGATAGGAATGAAAAGTAGTACAGTATATAATAAGTTATTTTTATGGAAGACACGCACATCAGTGCAGAAGCTGAAATACGATAAAGCTGTCGGCATCATTAAGGGACTCCATATAGAAATTTATTTATATAGAATAAATGTGATCAAATTACATGGTTCACCTATCAGTAAATATGTACCTAGGAGTAGGGCAACTACTGGGATTCAATACTGGGAAAGTTAGTAGTTTGCCTAGGGAGACTTCAATATGCCTAACAGACTACCTTTTGCCAACAACAGGAAACCAAATCATATTTCTTTCCCAAATAATAAATGAGGTAATGATGTAATTAAATACACAGTACAGTGGAACCTGGATATACGAATGCCCCTACTTATGAATTTTTTGGGCTACGACCCCAATTTCGTCGGAAAATTTGAATCAAGTTATGACCTTTGCCTAGACTTGTGACTTTGTTGATACACATATGGGTCGACTGAGTGAGTAGTTCCTGGTGGCATGGGTGACCCCACTTCGGTTTACCAGACTGCCCGCTTAGTAACGATCGCGCTTTAATTCTTTGTAAAGAATTTCATTGTTTTTGTGCTTTTTTGTTTTTTGAACGTAAAAGTAATCATTATATATATCATGCCATGGGTCCCAAGAAAGTCAGTGGTAAGGTTCAACCTGAGAAAATAATTGCGAGTAGAGGCAGTAGAATATGTCCCTTCCTCATTAAGAAAATGTGTGAAATATGGGAAGGACTGCAAAGTTTTGCTGAAAAGACTCACCCAGATAAAGCTGTATCAGGCCGTTGCATTGACCTTATTTATAACAATGATGTCTCACTACAGACAAGTGTTAAAATGTAGGGAAAACAAGTCTATGGAAAGGTTCTTAGTGAGACAAACAAGCAGTGCTTGCAAAATGTAGGAGAGTGAGAGTACCCCAGAGAAGTCATCACTGCCTGATGTTATATTGGAAGGGAACTCCCCTTCCAAATAGTAACACCTCACCTCCTTTTACCCCTCCTCACCGTTCTCCATACGCCAAGAAGAGTCATCAATAAAGGTAAGCTATAACTTGTACATACTATAGTACAAAATGTGAGTGTATTATATATGAAATGTATTTTGAAGTTAATATTTTTGGGAGTGTGGAACGGATTAATTCAATTTACATTAATTTTCATGGGAAAATTCTTTTTGGGTTATGACCCGGCTCTAGGAACGGATTAAATTCATAAAACAAGGTACCACCATACTGTACATAGGTGCATTATTTGTTGTTAATAGGTTGTTTTGTATATGGACAAGGCAACCATTTCCAGTTCACCTATGCTAGTTAGCCACATTTCTCTACATGTTTTAGATGGGTTAGTTTAGATTAGCCAAAGTTGTACGGTTAGATTATGGTAAGGTTATTGATAAGTTAGGCTAAGAATAGACTACTTAAGTGCTGGGTTAAGATGAAGTTACTTTAGAACAGATTAGACTATGTTTCTTATTTAAGGTCAAAATGGTTAGTTAGGCGAGGAAAATGTTGGAATTGAGAGGGTTTGTCATGAAATCGACTGATTGCAGCCATGAAGGAGCAAATTTATTCTGAATTCAATTTATTGCAGTAATAGTGTTGCACCAGGTAAATTATTCTTTGGGTACACAAACAAATAACACTAACACGATATATCACTGAGAAAATCAACTGGAACATTCTTTATAGAATTAGGTCATGGCAGGGTTGAGTTAACACGATAAAACTTACATGAGTGTACAACACAATACCTGTAATTATCAAGATGCTAATATAGTACCATACAGTAATAATTTAATTTCAGATTAAGAAGTGCATATGGGTATATCTGTTGTACAGTATTCATTATTCTGAAAAGTGGGGTAATGTTTTATTTTATTCAGGTCATGGGGGGGGGGGGGGGGGGAAATGCTTTTCATTATTAGGTTAAGAGAAAGTTTAAGAAAATTGTTGTAGCTACAATAATAACTTAACCTTCTGTCTGGGTGGTGATAGGCATAGCCATAGGCAGAAGAAGAGGACTGAGCATGCTCATCAGTGTAGGCAACATCAATACGAAAAGATGCTGCATCCTTTGGAATGTCAAGTTCAAACCTGGAATTGAGAGATGATATATGATGCTTAACTCTACAGTACAGTATTATTAAAGGTTCATTATTACAAAAATTACACTACATCTAATATTTATATTATTGTATATAGGATTATTTTTACAAGGGATGAAAAACCTGTGCAAGACAATGCACCATTAAGTATAGACACTTTATTGACAAGACCACACACTAGAAGGTGAAGGGACGACGACGTTTCGGTCCGTCCTGGACCATTCTCAAGACAATCGACTTGAGAATGGTCCAGGACGGACCGAAACGTCGTCGTCCCTTCACCTTCTAGTGTGTGGTCTGGTCAACATACTTTAGCCACGTTATTGTGACTCATCGCCTGCATAGACACTTTACCTACAGTATTGTACATTTCTTAATTGTTGGAGGAAAAAATTATTTGTAATTAGAGTTCTCTGGAAAGAATTCCTTTACACTTGCCTCTTACTTTGCTGGGAATGCTAAATATTATTTAATTTTATTTGGTTTGGAGGACTAGCACTGAAATAACATTAAATGGGTTCCAGTCCTTATATCCAGTACAGCATCTCTCTCTCTAGTTTCTATATATCCACAAAATGGGAGAGATTCATTTGAAATTAATTTACTCTGAACAACATATCCATTTGTGTGAGCTCAGCCAGAATGGTTGCACACACATAATGGGTGCATACATAAAAAAAAAAAAAAAAATTATATTAACTGGACACCTCTCATCCTTTGTCTTAAAGACCCACCTGTGGATGCCAATCTCGCGGTACTCAGCCAGGTACTGTTCTCTGGTGTACCCGTCCATCAGGACCTGCAGCCCCATTTCCACCAGGATAACCTCGTCCATCTCCTCCAGACCAATCTGGTATGCCAGCTGCCCTTCACGCAGAGCGTGCAGTGTCTCTTCCCGCTGCTTCCCATCATTTGAGAGTGTTGGGATGGCAATCTGAACAAAATATTAAAAGGTATGTAATAAAGAACCACAACTCCTCCACACCTCATTCAAATGACACATAAAAGGTGTGATTTTATCTTTGTCTTGGTAAATGTATTTTTTAATTTAATATTTTGTATAAATACAAACACATTCTACTGTATACACAAACACTAAACAAATGCTAAATAATTTATATATACTGCACTTTAAGACTGGGAAAGAAAAAGTATTTTAATGTTAACCAATTTTTGCAAGATTTCTACGGTACAGTATACATTAACGTTCTTTCGCAGTGGTATTATGCTTCATTTATTTTTAAATAACATGATTTCACATTGTTTTGCCATACTGGTTTTTGTCATGTATCAAAATTATGACTCATTAGCCTAGTCTTCAATTTATTGAACTGCTAAGATAAACTTTAAACCCCTAAAGGGGGTACAGCCAAATTATAAACAGGCATATCTATAAAGCTCGTTAAAATTTTATGTCATTAGGTTATGTTATTGGCATTTTTATTTTACTTATTTATCTATATATACAAGTAAACTGAGGGCAGCCACTTGATTGGGTTAGATTGTTAAGGGTTTTAAAATTCATCGGTGAACCATCGACTTCAAGATACGACTTTTATCTTTGCACGAGGGATAGTAAACAAGGTTACAAAAGTATATAGGATCAGAACGACACCCGAATACCCATAGCAGGGCATCAGGGTCACGACCTGACCTGAGCACGACTTGGGAGTACCCACGGCAGGTCAGGGGTGGAGCAGGTCTTGCCTCACCCCTGCAAGACCCAGATGCCTCCAATGGCCGAGGGCAGGCCGGCTCATCCTGGCACCTCTTAGCCTTGCCGGAAAACACATGAAAATTTATATATACAAAAGTCCTCACATTCTTGTAAAACCACTGACATGCACAGCGTTTCGGGGTACCTCCTTAATCCTAACTTTCCCCGGAATACGACCCGCAAAATCATTTAACAACCAGGTACCCATTCACCGCCGAGTGAACAAAGGCTACAGTTAAGAACTGGCACCCAGTCAATCCTCCCCGGCCAGGATACAACCCAGGCCAAAGCCAGCGGCGGGCGAGTGCTTTACCACTGGCAATACTAAAATGAATCACTCCTGACCACCATGGTGGTATTATAGCACCAGTAGTTGAACTTACAGCAAAATGCAAGCCAAAGCCATCTAATAAAACACGTTATCCAGCGCCAGAGAGCGGAGACGTCCGCCCGCCGCCACGATCACCCTGGGAGTCCCTCCGGCGGCACCTCTCCTCCAGGAACTTTAAATGTGCTTGTAAACAAACCAGGTCTTTACGGGCTCACCATAGCCCGTGCTACTTGGAACCTGTTCCGAGTAGCTGAATCTATAACAACAACAAACCAGGTCATGGCACATGTTGTTGTTTTACATTCAGCTGCTGGGAACAAAAAGTTCTCAGTAGCACGGGCTACAGTGAGCCGGTAGTGGACTTACCCGGCACAGGAGCGGGGCCTGATGGGGGCTAACTAGGGACGGGAACAACACCTGTTGACAGAAAGGTTGGGGACAGGGAGACGCATCTTGCCACCTGTTGTTGGGACAGGTATACATTTAATTACCTTATGTTTATACTGGTTTGACACCAGACTGGTCCCATGACATACCTTTCTTATGTTACAAGTTCCCAGACATAAAATTGTCTCAAACTGCGCAGTTGTGTATGTCACAGTGTTGTCATATATGCCACTTTGACCATGTAACACTGACTTTATGCCACACTTATTTTAGTAGTAAATGGTAATTTTGTCTCGAAACTAAATAGAACATGACATCTGACTGTGCATAAGTATTTTTCTGTTACAAAAGTTACGTACAGTACAGCGGTTCAGGGACAACTGTATGTAATAATAACCGCTGTCGGGGACAGGTAGCTTCTATTTTTATATTTTCCAGAACTTATCTGAGGGCCATCATTTTTATACAGAGTTGCCTCGACGGGAACAGGAAGTAGGCGGCTTGTCAAATGTACCCTCCCCATCCCCCGTTCAGTTGTATTGAGAAAACATGCTCCACCATTTCTGCTCCAGCCAGGAAACGAACCCACGATCCCTAATTTTGAGTTGAGAACGAAGTCAACTGTATTCTTTGTGTGTGTGAGAGAGAGAAGGTCAAAGGTCACCTTGGGAAGGGTGGAGGTGACACCGGTGTTGGAGGTGACGGTGGTGGTGATGACCAGAGATGACCCAGCCAGTCGCTCCTTTTCCAGTGGCTCTCCACTGCTGTGTCTCACATACACCTGTTGAGAGATAGAGGGAGGTGAGAGGTAGGGTGGCGGGGAGGGTACTTGTCCATCACTGTCACTGACGGAGTGATGTCGTTGAACGTTAACTGCCCAACTACTTAACTTTCCCAACTACTCACCTCCATAACTGTAGACCTAACCAGTTCGGTACTGGCACTGTAATTGACTACCATCAAGCGCTATGGAGCTCAAAAGTTATCAAAATTAGAGAGTCTTGTAGAGCGTATATACTTTCCCAGTTCAAGATAAAGGGATTGAACACAAACAACAGTGGGAGCCGGTCTACAGAATTCCCAACACAGATGTAACTGACTTCAATGTTAACCTCGGAAATGTATTATTAAGTTACAAACACCAAAAATCAACTAATACTAACAACAGACTTTAATATTGACCTCTGTCAGCCTGATAACCCTCAACTTGCTTCCTTCTTCAGTTTAGTTTAGTTCATTTATTATGCACCCCATACCCATCTTGTGGGCGGTAGTGGAAAGGGTTACAGAGGCACATAATGGGTTCAGGGACTGAACCCCACAATTCATTTAGCTAAGCAAGTTACAATCTTCATGAGCTAGTTACAAAATTAAGCATAAGTCGTCACATTATCAATGGGTTCGAGATCGACCACAAGTACAGTGTCTAAATTAAGCAACTGACATATGTGGAGAGCTAGTGTCACAATTGATATGTTTGTCCTGCACACCGCCCCCCATCCAGTGGGCAGCGGTGGATAGGTTACAATTACTTAGTTACTACCTACAGTTAGCAAACTGGGGATATTTGGCTAAAATTTCTGGTAGCAGATCATTTTGAATGAAATATTTACACATCGTTGGAACATTGGTCATAAAATTGTTTCTGAATTCACGTATCTTTCCGCACTCCATCACATAGTGACGGAGGGTGTGCGAATAATTTTGTTGACACAGTTTACATTTGGTCAGGCCTACATCAGCAAATAATGAGAATTCCCAGAGATACTTGTAACCGAGTCTAAGCCGAGCAGTAGTAACATCTAGAAGTCTGCTGATTTTATTGGATGAACCATAGATGTGTGGCTCCTCTTGCATGATAGTATGATGATAGATGGAATTACTGGTGTCAAGTTCACTTTGCCTCAGATCTACAAGATTTTGTTGAAGTTCTCGGTGTACTGCTGCTCTCAGATTGCTCATTGACAATCCAAGGTTACACTTAACGTCTCCTTTAAAGGCAGATTCTTTGGCTAACTTATCAGCTCTATTATGCATTCGGAGGCCAACATGAGATGGACTCTGTTACCATCTTTAATAATTTTGTTGTATTTGTGTCTAGCTTCGGACACGAGCATGTTACAGTTATGTCTTAAAGAGTTGAGAGCAATTAAGGATGATAAGGAGTCACTTACAATTAATGTATCAAGTTTGGAGACTTGTACACATTTCAGTGCAAGGAGCAAGGCAAATAGTTCGGTCTGAAGGGTAGAGGCCCAATTGTTTATACGGACTCCCCACTCAAAGTACAAGCCATCGCCCATTGTCAGAACAACTGCACTTCCAGCTGCACCCGTGGTGCGGTGTAGGGAACCATCAGTGTATATGGTTTGAGAGAGAGAATGCTCTCTGGACAGAGCATCTTCAACTGTAAGAACTCTTGCATGCTATTACCCATCATTACTAAACCAACCACAATTACTCAGACTTCTGCCTCCACCCTAGACCACATATAGAGAAATATAACCACTACAAATATCTGGAATAATCCTTGATGGTACAAATGGCCACTACCCAACATTTCTCTTAACTACCGGGGCAAACCACCACTGGAAATAATGCCTTTATGCTGCATAAGGAAGCTTCCACAGACGTGTCTAAGAGCCACTCTTTAATGCAATCTAAGCTAATAACAAAAGAGCAAAAACAAGTTTATATGAAAATTAAATTCCTAATTTTCTTGGGGGACAGGCAGCATGCATATATATATATATATATATATATATATATATATATATATATATATATATATATTTATATTAGGCTTATATCGAGGTCCACTCCAGTGGTACCTGGGTTTACCTCAGGTTAAACTAAGGTTGTTGTTGTTCTTGTTATAGATTCAGCTACTCGGAACAAGTTCCAAGTAGCACGGGCTATGGTGAGCCCGTAACTTACCTGGCACAGGAGCGGGGCAAGAAGCACGGACTATGGTGAGCCCCGTACACTAAGGGTTGTGTGTTTACACGAGGCTAGCTGCCTGGTGGAGGTCACCACGTGTCACCCTCCAGTCAGAGAGAGGTCACCTACCGCGCCATTAAAGGTCATCCCGGGCCGGAACACAAAGGGAGGAGTACCAACAACCCCAACCTCAATACGACCACTCAGGATCCTCGTCCTGTGGAACAGAAATAATTCCAAATTCAAATTTTTTAATTAAAAAAATTCAAAATTCAAAAATTCAAATTTTCAAATATTTCCATAACTTACCATTTAAATGTAAAAATAATTATGTAGAATAAATAACAAATAAATAGAATAAATTTAATACAAAAAATGTTGAGTTCTTATAAACCAGAAATTAATAAATGTACAACTGTTGTGCAGTATCCTGAGATTTTGGTTCGGATTTAAAATTCTTCAAGGAAAAATCTATATGCCTAAAAAATTATAAGAGAAATAATATTTGTCAAAGTCTCACAGCAATATGTGTACGAAACCTCGGAGTGGTCAGTGAGTTTAGTTTCTAGAATCTACGATCGTTGAAAATATCGCCACCGTTGATCAAAAAATTTAAAAAGGATTACAAATTTAATTAGGATTAACCCTAATCCCCTTGGAGAGTCCGTTGTGCAGTGGTAAAACACTCGTTCAGTACTTCGCGAGCGCTCTGGCCTGGGTTCGTATCCCTGGCCGGGGAGGATTGACTGGATACCAATCCTTAACTGTAGCCTCTGCTCATCCAGCAGTGAATGGGTACCTGGTTGTTAAACGATTTGGCGGGTCGTATTCCAGGGAAAATTAGGATTAAGGACCTGCCCGGAACGCTACGCGCGCTGGTGGCTGAACAAGAATTCAAATTCAAATTCAAAATTCAAATTCAAAATTCAATGTACGAGTGTAAGAACTCTTGTATATATAAATAAATAATGTTAATCACATTGACAGTAAAGCTGTCCAGTGTTAGTAACATCAACTTAAAAGTCACAATAAATTTGCATTTCCTAGAACGATTTTTAGTTGTTCTGAGATGCATAACATACAAAGAACACAAAGAAAGAAGAACACAAATTTCCTGGTCCCTCTGGGTGAACAAAGGTTTCCAGGGATCTCTGGAAGAACAAGACATTTTTGGGATTGTCTGCCAGGCAACAAGATTACTGGAATCCTAAGGAACGAAACAAGATTCCCCAAATCTTTTGGAAGACCACAAGATTCCTGGAATTATCTAGAAGGCAACAACATTTCAGAGTTCTACTTCAAAACTGCAAGAATGATATCTGCAAGACCACAATGTCACGTGGATATCTGTAAGTTTAAAATATTTCTGGTGCCTAGTAAAAGTGCACAATGTTCTTGGACCCTATAAAAGTTTAAAACTCCTTCTGGAACTTGAAGTTCAGAGATCTCTCTGGAAAGTCGCAAATGTTTCTTGGTCACAGTGGAACAATTTTTGTTTGAGATATATACAAGAGTTGTTACATTCTTGTACAGCCACTAGTACGCGTAGCGTTTCGGGCAGGTCCCTGGAATACGATCCCCGCCGCGAAGAATCGTTGTTACAACCAAGTACACATTTTACTGTTGAGTTAAACAGAGGCTACAGTTAAGGATTTGCGCCCAGTAAATCCTCCCCGGCCAGGATACGAACCCATGACAAAGCGCTCGCGGAACGCCAGGCGAGTGTCTTACCACTACACCACGGAGACTGGTAAACAATACATGATTCCAGCATGTCTCTTGAAAGCCACTATTTTCCAGGCCAATTCAAAGAGTCCAGATGGTTTCCAGACTCATCGAAATGGAGATCATACCATTCCAGGACTAATGACTCCAGCACTGGAAAGCTATGATGACGTAGAACCACCCACAAAGTTCAGGTGGAGTCTGGATTCCTCTGAAATAGACATACGAGTCCAGGACTCACCTCGAGTGTCCCTCCGCCTTGATCCAGGTGAAGACATCATGGAACACGCACTCCACCTTCACTTCTGCTCCTTCCAGTTCCTTCACATGATCCAGTAATGACTCCATCGGGAAGGAGAAGTCCACTGCTACGTCTACCTGGGGAAGAGATACAAATGGAGAGTGTGGTATGGAAAGTGACGTCTTTGGCTTGGAAAGTGACGTTGTCTGGCTTGGAAAGTGACGTCTCTGGTATGGAAAGTGACGTCTCTGGTATGGAAAGTGACGTCTCTGGTATGGAAAGTAACGTCTCTGGCATGGAAAGTGACGTCTCTGGCATGGAAAGTGACGTCTCTGGTATGGAAAGTAACGTCTCTGGCATGGAAAGTGACGTCTCTGGCATGGAAAGTGACGTCTCTGGCATGGAAAGTGACGTCTCTGGTATGGAAAGTAACGTCTCTGGCATGGAAAGTGACGTCTCTGGCATGGAAAGTGACGTCTCTGGCATGGAAAGTGACGTCTCTGGTATGGAAAGTAACGTCTCTGGCATGGAAAGTGACGTCTCTGGCATGGAAAGTGACGTCTCTGGCATGGAAAGTGACGTCTCTGGCATGGAAAGTGACGTCTCTGGCATGGAAAGTGACGTCTCTGGTATGGAAAGTAACATTTCTGGCATGAAAAGTAACGTTTCTGGCATGGAAAGTAACGTTTCTGGCATGGAAAGTGACGTTTCTGGCATGGAAAGTAACGTTTCTGGCATGGAAAGTGATCCACTTATGTAAAAGTTATCAGATTCACTAGTCTTGTAAGTAACAACAAAGAGTTAAGCCTTACTCTCTAATATTTAAATATTTAAAAAAATATATATTAATGTTAATAAATATAACTAGCACATATTTCAAGTCCATATTGGCGTTGTGACTGACGTAGTGGTAGTAGAGTGAGGAGACGAGCTTGAAGTGAGAGTCGGGGAGAGTCCAGGGCTGCTTCACGTACAGGCTGAGGGAGGCGTTGCCGTACACTGGCTTGTCTGTTATGTAACTGCCAGTTAGCGTCCCAGTGATCGCCTCCTCGTCTGACCTCTTGTAGAACGGCATCTCCACGAATACCTGCCGGTTGGCGGAGGCTAAGTGTCACCTGAGTATGAGCTACTTGGGCAACTAGTCTCTCTCTCTCTCTCTCTCTCTCTCTCTCTCTCTCTCTCTCTCTCTCTCTCTCTCTCTCTCTCTCTCTCTCTCTCTCTCTCTCTCTCTCTCTCTCTCTCTCTCTGTCTCTCTCTCTCTCTCTCTCTCTCTCTCTCTCTCTCTCTCTCTCTCTCTCTGTCTCTCTGTCTCTGTCTCTGTCTGTCTGTCTGTCTGTCTGTCTGTCTGTCTCTCTCTCTGTCTCTCTCTGTCTCTGTCTCTCTGTCTCTCTCTCTCTCTCTCTCTCTCTCTCTCAGAGAGAGAGGAGAGAGAGAGTCTCTGTCTCGTCTCTGTCTCTCTCTCTCTCTCTCTCCTCTCTCTCTCTCTCTCTCTCTCTCTCTGTCTCTGTCTCTGTCTCTGTCTCTCTCTCTCTCTTCTGTCTCTCTCTCTCTCTCTGTCTTGTCTCTGTCTCTCTCTCTCTCCTGTCTCTGTATCTCTCTCTCTGTCTCTGTCTCTCTGTCTCTATCTCTCTGTCTCTCTTTCTCTGTCTCTGTCTATGGTCTCTGTCTCTGTCTCTGTCTCGTCTTCTCTCTCTCTGTCTCTATCTCTCTCTCTCTCGTCTCTCTCTCTCTCTCTCTCTCTCTCTCTCTCTCTCTCTCTCTCTCTCTCTCTCTCTCTTCTCTCTCTCTCTCTCTCTCTCTCTCTCTCTCTCTCTCTCTCTCTCTCTCTCTCTCTCTCTCTCTCTCTCTCTCTCTCCTCTCTCTCTCTCTCTCTCTCTCTCTCTCTCTCTCTCTCTCTCTCTCTCTCTCTCTCTGTCTCTCTCTGTCTCTCTCTCTCTCTCTCTCTCTCTCTCTCTCTCTCTCTCTCTCTCTCTCTCTCTCTCTCTCTCTCTCTCTCTCTCTCTCTCTCTCTCTCTCTCTCTCTCCACACCTTGTAGTTACCTCATAGAGGGGCTCATAAATCTTGTGGACCAGGAACCTCTTCTCCTCGACCTGACCTTGAGCATTGACCTTGACTTTCCACCATCCAGGACGTGGCAGCTCCGGCAGCTGGTAGGCCACAGTGACCACTCCTGAGGTCACACCAGGGGTCAGGTCACACCAGGGGTCAGGTCACACCAGGGGTCAGGTCACACCAGGGGTCAGGTCACACCACGCGTCAGGTCACACCAGGGGTCAAGCCACATCAAACAGAAACGAATTAATACACAGAAACGGAAAACATCTCATTACAAAACAAAATCCTATCACTCTGCCATAACGCTGCCCTGCTTTAAGAATACAAATGCCTTTCTTACCAAAAGAATACAAAAATTGGATTATTACGATGTTCGTAAGGTTAATTATTTCTCAGTTACTATGAGACAATAATTTAATTATGAGACAATAATTTACATGTATATGGTGAGCCGTCCGTGTATGGCAGGCTGGGTGTGGGCAGCCATATACACAGTGTATATCAAGAACGATCTAACTGGACTTGAACTTAGTAAATAAAGCTGAAATACACAAGCAACTTTAGTCGACCTAAATGAAATTTGTGAAGAAGATAAGTATGACTTCACACTCTTGAGAGACGGGTCTCCTGAGTCACTGAAGAAAGTCCGGCTTCCAGGTCCATTGTTGCTTCGTATGAAAGCAGAATACGCAAGCGGACAAAAAGCACAATTGCAAGATCATGTATAATCAATCTTGCCTTCCAGCGGCGCTTCGTCAGGAGGTTAATGACCTGGGGCCAGATTCACGAAAGCACTTACGCACGTGTACATCTCTCCTCAATCTTTGACGGCTTTGGTTACGTTTATTAAACAGTTTACAAGCATGAAAACTTGCCAATCAACTGTTGTTATTGTTATAAACAGCCTCCTGGTGCTTCGGAGCTCATTAACTGTTTAATAATTGTAAACAAAGCAGCCAAAGATTGAGAAAAGATGTACAGGTTCGTAAGTGCTTTCGTGAATCTGACCTCTGGAGAAGTTAGCACCGAGTTAACCACCAACACTCAACTCGTGTATGAGGACCCCTGTGAGTGAAGGTATGAGGACATCCCTATGCCATATGATTACATAGCATCTGGAAAAGATATGAGATAGACTAACAGCTGGGGTTTGAAGAGAGACTAAGGGAATTCACTAGAGGTAAGGGAGGTACCCACACACCAGGGGTAAGGAGGGTACCCCACACCAGGGGGTAAGGGAGGTACCCACACCAGGGGATAAGAGAGGTAACCCACACCAACACACAAAAATAGGTAGAGAACTTACCTATGTGAGGAGAGCGTGACACCCATCGCTTGACGATATTTTCTTCCGGGTCCTGGGAATAGGGAGAGAATATTATGGAGAGAGAGAGAGAGAGAGAGAGAGAGAGAGAGAGAGAGAGAGAGAGAGAGAGAGAGAGAGAGAGAGAGAGAGAGAGAGAGAGAGAGAGAGAGAGAGAGAGAGAGACAAATAATAATCCAGCATGCCTATTTCCCACGTACAAATCCTATTTCTCATCATTAACAAATCCATAGGGACCAAAACAGCAAGTGTAAGACCTAACCAATTATCTATATACACCCACAATTACTCTTTTTAAATCAACATATTTTTAGTTCCCTGATGATAATTGATAATTTTTGCCTCATTAAAAACAAATTTATTTGACATCCTACCCTTTTAAGTCACAAACAACACTCCCTAAGTCACAAACAACACTCCCTAAGTCACAAACAACACTCCCTAAGTCACAAACAACACTCCCTAAGTCACAAACAACACTCCCTAAGTCACAAACAACACTCCCTAAGTCACAAACAACACTCCCTAAGTCACAAACAACACTCCCTAAGTCACAAACAACACTCCCTAAGTCACAAACAACAATTAGAGCCAAGAAGAGCGAACAAGGTAGTTCAGTGTCCCCTGAAGGGCGTGAACCAAGACCTCAGTAGTTGTGGACTCTGATAAAGTACATCAACTCCTTCAAGCCTGAGGTCACCTAGAGATGACCTGATATATGCCTCCACACACACACACACACACACACACACACACGCACGCACACACACACACACACACACACACACACACACACACACACACACACACACACACACACTAGTTCCTCGCAATCTATTGCAACAAATTGCATCTTATAATACTGGAGACAAATAAGTTCACAATCCCAGACTGAAGGTCCCGTCAGTCAATTCAAGTTTTCATTTCTATCAATGAAAGAAATAACAATATTCACGCTTTTTTTATTCGTGAAGGAAACCACAGAATAGGTTTGGCTTAGGTAGAAACCGCAATCCCATCATCTCTGCCTCGGGAGATATATTCATTTTCCGCTGGAGAAAAGTACCTAATAGTACCCCCACCAGCCGTCCTTAGGCTAGGCTCGTTCAAGCGGCGGCCAAAACGTATTTATAAATTTCAACGTTCTGTGTAATAAAACTCGATATTTTCGCAGATATTTGTGAATATTATATATTAGAATTTATTATATATTTAGGCCTGCATTAGGATAGGTTAAGAGTTTAGATTCTGGATACAATTATTTGCATTGCAACATGACAAGAGACTAGGCTTGATAAAGCGGCAGCCAACCCACAAGACACATATCCAGGGCCCCAGCAACGCCCCCAGGGTGGCCCTCAGGGACGCATTAACGTCTCCAACCACCGGTGTTAATGGTCTAATTAATGGTCCGTCCCTGTTAATGGTCCAATTAACAGCCAGAAATAAAAAACAAACGGTTGAAGATCTTTCCTTAAAAGATATTTTGCAAATTCCTCGAGTTTTTGCTCGAGTTGAACGCAATGATGAATTGCCCAAATGTCGAGAAAGTGTTACGACAACAACCGCGCGTATAATTACCTTTACGTCAGGTTGTAATTAAGGAACTGAACGAGCGCGAGACCGAGTACTGTTTTTCTTTTGTTTTTTTTATATCAATAACAACTCTGTGACGAACAATGGGTCTTGTTTAGTACCTGTTTGGTACCCTTCTACTTCACAGTCAAAGGAGTTCTAGCGTTAAGACACTTTTATTGGAAAGTTTGTTACTTTTTCTGCTACTTTCTCTGCTACTCTTTACATGACATGATAATGGTTCAGGGCGGACCATCTCTCGTTACTTCCTTGTTTCTCAGGTGTGTGTGGTGGCTATCAGGTGTACTCAGGTGTGTGGGATGGTTGTCAGGTGTTCTCAGGTGTGTGTGGGGGGTGGCTGTCAGCTGTACTCAGGTGTGTGTGGGATGGTTGTCAGGTGTTCTCAGGTGTGTGTGGGGGTGGCTATCAGGTGTACTCAGGTGTGTGGGATGGTTGTCAGGTGTTCTCAGGTGTGTGTGGGGGTGGCTGTCAGGTGTACTCAGGTGTATGTGGTGGCTGTCAGGTGTACTCAGGTGTGTGTGGTGGCGTTGTCTGGTGTACTCAGGTGTGTGGGGGTTGCTGTCAGGTGTACTCAGGTGTGAGAGAGGAAGACCGGGAGGCACACCTGACGCCACCGACACAAGGGTGGGAGGTTGTCTTACTTACCAGTATGGAGACGTCGACAGGGTCGTCATAGGGCTTGAGATCCGTTGTCAGTAGAATCATCCGGACTCCGACTGTTGATTTAGATTTAGATTTAGACTTAGATATACATTGAGTTACATAATATTAGATTTAAAGATAGAGATAGTACATACCTAAAGCCACTAGTACAACTAGATCTAGCTCTTGGGCCCCACTTTTCTAGCTACCGTGTACTCACCTAATTGTGCTTGCGGGGGTTGAGCTTTGGCTCTTTGGTCCCGCCTCTCAACAATCAATCGTGTGTTGTTTTAGTTGTGTCTGTGGAGATTGAGATCTAGCTCATAAGCCCTGCCTCGTAGCCTCCGTACCCGGGGTGTGTGTTGTTTATCTAGCTGTGGCTACTGAGGTGAGGTTCTAGCTCTTGGGCTCCTTGAGTGTGCCGTGCACCTACCCTCCTGGCTGCCGGTGAAGCAAGGTCTTGAAAGATGCATGATGATAGTTAGGAAGGTGGGCGTGGCCGTCACGTGGGTGGAGTTACGGAAGACGAGGGCGTGGCCTCTGTATCCCTCCACCAATAGCGTGTAGGAACGCACACCACTGGAGTATGGCACCTGCAAAAAGCCAATAAGGTCAGAGTTGGCTGCAGGTACAAGCAGCCAATAGCTAGGCTTTCAACTTCCTACAATGAACAAACTTCGAGGGACCAATGGCATGACAGATAACACTTTCAGACCAATAGCCAGCAGGTTACCATCCTGCTACGGTGATTCGTCCACAAAGGTCCAATGGCATAACACCTGGTAATCTTCCACCAATAGCGTAGCAGAACACGTTGGGCCGCAGGGACCAATAGCATCAAGGGTTCTACAAGACGATGTTATTTTCGGCCAATGATAAACAATAACACAAAAAAGTATTGGTTCGATTTTTGAGGAATTTTAGACGAGCCGTCGACTCACATTTAGATGAGTCACCCTTCATCCACCTGGATGAGTCACCCTTCATCCACCTGGATGAGTCACCCTTCATCCACCTGGATGAGTCACCCTTCATCCACCTGGATGAGTCACCCTTCATCCACCTGGATGAGTCACCCTTCATCCACCTGGATGAGTCACCCTTCATCCGGCTGGATGAGTCACCCTTCATCCACCTGGATGAGTCACCCTTCATCCGGCTGGTTGAGTCACCCTTCATCCACCTGGATGAGTCACCCTTCATCCGCCTGGATGAGTCACCCTTCATCCACCTGGATGAGTCACCCTTCATCCACCTGGATGAGTCACCCTTCATCCGGCTGGATGAGTCACCCTTCATCCACCTGGATGAGTCACCCTTCATCCGGCTGGTTGAGTCACCCTTCATCCACCTGGATGAGTCACCCTTCATCCGGCTGGTTGAGTCACCCTTCATCCACCTGGATGAGTCACCCTTCATCCGGCTGGTTGAGTCACCCTTCATCCGGCTGGTTGAGTCACCCTTCATCCACCTGGATGAGTCACCCTTCATCCGCCTGGATGAGTCACCCTTCATCCACCCTGAAGATTATCCACCTTATCCACCATCCATCCTTATCCACCTGGATGCCCCCCCCCCTCCTGATATCCACCACTCACCCACCTGGATAAGAAGGTCCTGGGACTCCCCTGGGGCAATGAGGGCGTGGGCGGGGTCAAGGTTGACCTCGGGGGAGGTCAAGTGCGCGGTGACCTGGACGGGGCTCGAACCCGAGAGGATCCCAACCACCAGGCGGTACACGGTCGCCGGCCGAGCCAGCCGAGGGGCCGAGATGATGTAGCTCCTGTAGATGACATGTGTCAGACACGTGTTGACATGTGTCAGACACGTGTTGACACATGTGTCAGACACGTGTTGACATGTGTCAGACACGTGTTGACACATGTGTCAGACACGTGTTGACATGTGACAGACACGTGTTGACATGTGACAGACACGTGTTGACATGTGACAGACACGTGTTGACATGTGTCAGACACGTGTTGACATGTGACAGACACGTGTTGACACATGTGTCAGACATATGTTGACACATGTGTCAGACACGTGTTGACATGTGTCAGACACGTGTTGACACATGTGTCAGACATATGTTGACACATGTGTCAGACACGTGTTGACATGGGTTAGACACATGTTGACACATGGGTCAGATACGTGTTGACACAGGTACTGGAATAGGCTAAGAATGCATATTCATATAAGCACAAATACACATTAACATGAAATAATTGCGTATTAACATGACAAGAAATGCATACTGATACGAGCAAGAAATACATATTGATATATACAACAAATACATATTGATATATACAACAAATACATATTGATATATACAACAAATACATATTGATATATACAAGAAATGGATAGATTTGATGAGGTTTTCTCAAGAGCCTAATTCTTGCAAACCACAAGAATGATATAAAATAGAGGAAATTAAACACTAGGGGTGAGAAAAATAGCGATGCGTAGTGTGAGTAAAGTTACCATGGGAGGGGGAGTAGGTTACCATGGGGGGGGGGGGAGTGGGGGGGACAATGGGGGAGGAGGAGTGGGGGGACAATGAGGGGAGGGGGGGCGAGTGGTGGTTAATATATGGGTCATTTGCAGAGGTCAAGGTGGACTTGAGTTTTGTATCTGGAGCATGAAGTACTCCAGAGCCCTGGTAACCTTGGTGCTCTAATGACCGTGCTGGGTTACGACTGTGTGTGTGAGAGATATGGGGGACAGATAACATAATATTCACCCCATAACGATACCTTCCCTCCCCGCCAGTCACTAGTCATCAACACTCACTACACCATAAGCTGTGACTCGTCCCGTCACGACTCTTAAAAAGCGCGGAAACTGAACGCGGCGCCCCGACACACCTCCACCCGGCCTCAGCGCAACAAAAAGTGACCCCTTAAACGCCGCAGTTATCCCTAGGCGCCGCTTGATCTCAACAAAAAACGGGCGCCACCACAAACTCTTTAGAAACACTTGGGCCAAAAAACCTGCCGTAACTACTGAACCATCGGCCCAAAAGTTGTGTTGAACAAACAGGATTTATGGAGATGGCACTCCGCGTTCCCTCTGGACGCGCACTAAGGCACGTGCACCTGTTTTCACTTTTTTTAAGTGTTGAGCTCTGGCTCTTTGGTCCCGCCTCTCAACTGTCAATCAACTGGTGTACAGGTTCCTGAGCCTACTGGGCTCTATCATATCTACACTTGAAACTGTGTATGGAGTCAGCCTCCACCACATCACTGCCTAATGCATTCCATCCGTTAACTACTCGGACCCTGAAAAAGTTCTTTCTAACGTCTCTGTGGCTCATGTGGGTACTCAGTCTCCACCTGTGTCCCCTTGTTCGCGTACCACCCGTGTTAAACAGTTTATCTTTGTTTACCCTCTCAATTCCTCTGAGAATTTTGTAGGTAATGATCATATCTCCTCTTACTCTTCTGTCTTCCAGTGTCGTAAGGTGCATTTCCCGCAGCCTTTCCTCGTAACTCATGCCTCTTAGTTCTGGGACTAGTCTAGTGGCATACCTCTGAACTATTTCCAACTTCGTCTTGTGCTTGACAAGGTACGGGCTCCATGATGGGGCCGCATACTCCAGGATTGGTCTTACATATGTGGTATACAAGATTCTGAATGATTCCTTACACAGGTTCCTGAAGGTAGTTCTGATGATAGCCAGCCTCACATATGCCGCCGATGTTATTAGTTTGATGTGGGCTTCAGGAGATTTGTTTTGCTTACCATTCTCATTGTGAAAGTAAAAACACGAGCCGGGACACAGACAGACCTCTAGTAACTTGTATTACTTGAAGGATCTGGTGTCCAGCAGCGTCCTAACTCGTGCTACTTAAAAGATCTGATTCTCAAAAGCTTCTGGACCCGCGGTGTCTGAAGGAGAGACTAAAGCATTACACGAAGGATCAGGGGCCAGATTCACGAAGCAGTTACGCAAGTACTTACGAACGTGTACATCTTTCCTCAATCTTTGACGGCTTCGGTTACATTTATTAAACAGTTTACAAGCATGAAAACATCAAAATCAGCTGTTGTTATTGTTATAAACAGTCTCCTGGTGCTTCGGAGCTCATTAACTGTTTAGTAATTGTAAACAAAACCGCCAAAGATTGAGAAAAGATGTACAGGTTCGTAAGTGCTTGCGTAACTGCTTCGTGAATCTGGCCCCAGATGACCAACCTCAGACTGACTTGTCTTTTCCGAAGGAGCTCCGGGACGGAGGAAGAGGAGGAGGAGGAGGAGGAAGAGGAGGAGGAAGAGGAGGAGGAGGAGGAGGAGAAGGCGGGAACCCCAAAACCGGTGTGTGTGAACCGGTCAGCTGCTGCAGTCTGGTCAAAGGAGATCGAACTGGTGGAAGAGCCGAGGTAGTAGAACAGGTTTGGGGAGTACCTCAGCAGTACCTTATAACTACCTCAGGTTTTAAGAGTCAGCAGTACCTCAAGAGTACCTCAGGAGTACCTCAGGAGTACCTCAGGAGTACCTCAGGAGTACCTCAGGAGTACCTCAAGAGTACCTCAGGAGTACCTCAGGAGTACCTCAGGAGTATCTCATGCGCCTCCAGATTACGACTGTGCTATCTACAGGAAAGAACAGGCTATATACAGCCCATCCTCGTGTTGTGGCAGTACTTATAGTACCCATGAGGACTATAGTATATATATCCACCTACAACCAAATTAGAAAGTAGAAATCTTACTATTGAGTTGGACAAAATGGAATACAATTTTTTACTTGTGTTGCTTTGACAAACTAAAGTAACCTAATCTTTCTAGGCCTAATACACGATATCTGAGGCCTAATATAGTACATATATGTGTGCTATACTAGGCCTAAGAATATTTAAATTTGCTTTTAGCTTCATATGTTTGATAAGAATTCCTTACTAGTCAATATACTACTAAGAGCTAAGTACGTACGAATCGTAACTATTGACGACCGACACAATAGATGCTATCTAAACAAGAGGATGGGTTGATATATACCCTAAGTTCAGCTATCAGCATTCCCTAAGTTATCTATATTAACTTCTGTCTGAACAGAGGAGACGAAATCAAAGATGGCGACTCACCGCCCTTGGCCACGCCCCCTTGCTTATACTGCCACCTGGTGGAAGCTCAGGAAGTTACACCATCCCATGGACATCTCAACGCTTAATTTATTTATTTATTTATTTATATATATATACAAGAAGGTACATTGGGTTTATAGTATATAGCATTGATGTTTTTACATTCTTGTAAAGCCTCAACATGCATAGCGTTTCGGGCTTAAGACAGAAGTAAACTCATGTCTTGAACATCTGACCGGTTAAGATACAAGTAAACCCATGCTATAGACCGGTTACGATAGTAGTAAACCCATGGATATCTGACCGGTTAAGATGGAATAAATAGTCTACCTTAATTAATCCGGTAATTCAATCGGCCACAACGGATTTGTGAGTCTTCACGAATCCGGATCTACAAGAACGTAAACAAAGGACTTAACGGCTGTCAACAGTAATGCCGCTGACTTAATCCACAACTGACTCCTGGTTCAACCTTGGCGCCGAGCGGACGGCTGGACGCCTCCTCCTCCTCCTTGGCAGCCACCGGTTCACGTTTGGTTTTGCAATTTTGGATTTGCTACTGAAGTTTGTCGCCTGTCCTCAACGGCCCAGTTTATACGACGCCTGGCGCACATATTGCCTTTGGGTCACGGGATTGTTGATAGATATTGTTTTTCACATGTTCTAGCTGGTTCTCCTGGCGAGGTGAGAACCGGAGCCGGCTTGGCCGAGAGGTGCTGGGCGTTGGTGGGTCTTGGCGGGCTCCTGGTGGGCCCTCGGCTGTGCTGGGCGGCTGGCCAGCCGGTCTTCTTCAGCCGTCTTCTGGCTCCTGCTTGTCACCCTGAGGGACTCCTGGGGCTCGCCAATTATCTGCCTGTCTGTGCGTTTATATGGCCGAGAGGCATATTAGTTTCCAGTGATTGGCGTCACTCGTTTCGCGATTAGGCTTGGTGATTCACCTTATCCGGGCTTCGCGATTAATCCTTCACTGGTACGTCGGGGAGCATCCAATCACAAGATCTTCGTCGCTTCTAAATCTACGACAACAACAACTTATTCCACAACGGGAGCGTCTCAAGCAAAGGGGTTTACGCACTTTATTAAATTATTGAAATACAGCAATACTGCCGAATTTTTGTGACGCTTAAGACTTGATTAGATGTGACAAAGAGTCTTGGGAACCGGTTTTCCCACGTGGCGCATAACCTGATGAGCGCGTATACGCACGCACACATCTTGGGTACAAAGTACGCACTCACAATGTATTATGTTCAACAGATGGCGCTGTTTAAAAAAAAAAATGTTTTTTCCTGTCTCAGGTGAGGCATGTATATTGTAGGTATATAAAAACACACGCCTATTCAAATGCAACGTTGTGTTAAAATTTCAAAGCAATCGGTAAAGAGGTTTCGAAGATTTACCTCACATGAAAAATACAGCTTTTCGATAAAACATGTTTTTCCCCGTCACAGACGTGGCATCTATATAGTAAGTATATAAAAACCCTCTCCGATGCGTTGTGTGAAAATTCCAAAGGAATCGGTGAAGAACTTTCGGAGATTAGCGATTTTGAACAAAAGAACATATACATTTATATTTATATAGATATATTTGTTTGCAGGTATAACCCTCTACTCTTCTGGAGAAATATGGTTGACATAAACAAAATACAACAGATATATACAATACAGAAATATAACTAATATATATACAATGCAGAAATACAACTGACAAATACATCCGGATATTAAACTGACAGAATATATTCACATAATTTACCATTACAAATGAGTTTCATAACACGCTTGTGAAATATATTTTTCAAAGCGAGGTGAGGATGCACGAGTCCACCCATCAGAGGCTGACATATCACAGGAGTCAGAGAATCAATGTCCTCGACTTATGCCAGTCCGCGTAGCGGTGACCTTACGAAAGTACACATCGAATACTTAGTAGCAGTTTCTTATTGTCTCCGGACACACACACACACACACACACACACACACACACACACACACACACACACACACACACACACACACACACACACAGAAACACCGTGACCAACCTACTGGTGTTCATAACAAGGCAACAAGCCGCCGGCTTCTGTCCCACTCTAGGACACTAGTGCTCGTGGCACTCAGGTAAACTAAGGTAAAGCAGGAAATGGATGGATGAGCACATTGTGAATTCCTTGACTGTAAGAAGGTAGTTGATACAGTTCCAAACAAGAGAGTTGTAGGATACTAGACTTGTAGGAAGCTAATAGGATTTGAGAGTACCTCTCTGGTAGGAAACAGATGGCGAAAGGAGAGAGAGAGAGAGAGAGAGAGAGAGAGAGAGAGAGAGAGAGAGAGAGAGAGAGAGAGAGAGAGAGAGAGAGAGAGAGAGAGAGAGAGAGAGAGAGAGAGAGAGACAGAGAGGCCATTTAGCGCAGAACGACTCACACCAAGATGGAACACATATGGAACCCGACCCAGGTGAGCTGCTGGGAGAGTCACAGATGTCACTACACAGTAACAGTTGAGAGGCGGGACCAAAGAACCAGAGCTCAACCCCCCGCAAGCACAACTAGCTGAGTACAGTATCAGTATCCTTGACCGACTCAACCCCATTCCTGAGCTCTGGGTTACTAGCCTACACCGAGTTAACGAGTTGTCTAACTACTTCACTTGGACCACCATAACCTAGGTTATACACCATAAATTACCTGACAAAATTAATATTATTTGTAGCAGATTACAATTCCAATGACGGTGTATTAATATATATACTTAAACTACACATAACAACACTACATATGACAAAGATAAGTGACCAACCTATTCCCCCCATACACCCCCCTTGCCCCCATCACCCCCCCCTTTCCCCCCCCCATCAATCCCCATCTCTATTGCCACCCTCAACCCCCATATAAAGAAGTCAGTGAACACACCCAGCGAAGCACAGATCCGCGGGATGTAGCGATGATTTCATGGTCCCCAACAGCCTCTACAGGTGAGCATAACTAGAATGATGAGGATACAGGTGTTCAACACACACATATACATATATACACATGAATATATATATACATATTTGATGAATACAGAATTTGATGAAAAATTGAACCCCGAGTGTTTCCGGAGGTTGGTCAGTCGTGGAGGTTAGACTAAGAGCTGGGATATAAGATAGATTAAAAGCTGGGATATAAGATAGACTAAGAGCTGGGATATAAGACAGACTAAGAGCTGGGATATAGGATAGACTAAGAGCTGGGATATAAGACAGACTAAGAGCTGGGATATAAGATAGATTAAGAGCTGGGATATAAGATAGACTAAAAGCTGGGATATAAGATAGACTAAGAGCTGGGATATAAGACAGACTAAGAGCTGGGATATAGGATAGACTAAGAGCTGGGATATAAGACAGACTAAGAGCTGGGATATAAGATAGACTAAGAGCTAAGGACAGATAAAGAACTAGGATCTAAGGACGGAGAAAAGGAACGGTCGTCAGGCTCTTGGAATATCAGTGCTCGAACGTCAACCCAACAAGAAGCGAAGCCGTCACTGTGCCCAATAATAATTAGGTAACCATGGCTAAAAATATGACAGATGATGTATGTTCTGGATGTTTGAAAACGGATATGTTTACGGTAGTGAATATGACGTAAGACATGGAGAAGAGAATACTTACGACCTGGTGTTGAGGAGAGAAGGATGGTGATGATCAGGGAACGAGTTACTGGCATTCCTGGCACTCCAACCGCCTCGTTCAGTGCCTTGAAGTGCCATGTTCAGAAGCTGCCTGCTTCGCTTGTCACCATCACCCTGAACATGTTCAGCATCACCTGGGACTCTGGCATTACTGCCAGTGCCACCTGGCACGCCGGTATTACTGCCAGTGCCACCTGGCATGCCGGTATTACTGCCAGTGCCACCTGGCACGCCGGTATTACTGCCAGTGCCACCTGGCACGCCGGTATTACTGCCAGTGCCACCTGGCATGCCGGTATTAACCCCAGTGCCAGCTAAGACACTGGCACTGGGTACAGTGCCACTTTTCCCTAGTGTCTGGGCTATAGCCGCTGAGAAACCCAGCACTAGGAAGGCTGGGAGGATCACTCTCAGCTCCCTGCTGGCTCCTGAGGTCATCCTGGCTACCCTGAGAGTGTAGCAGGAGTTCCTTGTCCTGAGGAAGCGGTTAACGAGGCTGTTGAGGTTGGTAATTAGTGATTGACGGCTGCGTCGACACTCCCAGCTGGAACACTCGGCCCTGGACCAGCTGTCTCAGCTGGATCTTCACTTCCTGTAGAAGAGTTGTGAAACAGACGTTGAGTTGTTGTTGTTTTAGATTCAGTTACTCAGAACAAAAGTTCCAAGTAGCACGGGCTATGGCGAGCCCGTAGTGGACTTACCTGGCACAGGAGCGGGGCAAGTAGCACGGGATATGGTGATCCCGTAGTGGACTTACCCGGCACAGGAGCGGGGCAAGTAGCACGGGCTATGGTGAGCCCGTAGTGGACTTACCTGGCACAGGAGCGGGGCAAGTAGCACGGGACATGGTGATCCCGTAGTGGACTTACCCGGCACAGGAGCGGGGCAAGTAGCACGGGCTATGGTGAGCCCGTAATGGACTTACCCAGCACAGGCGCGGGGCTGCAACTTGGACGTTGAGGTGATTCCAGGGAATGATACAGGCACGGGGCAGTCTTCAGGAGGAATGCTGTGGTATCGAACTCGCGTCTCAGGTCCTTACCTTGAGGTTACCTTGAGGTGCTTCCGGGGCTTAGCGTCTCCGCGGCCCGGTCGTCGACCAGGGGATATGAGACAGACTAAGAGCTGGGATATGAGACAGACTAAGAGCTGGGATATGAGACAGACTAAGAGCTGGGATATGAGACAGACTAAGAGCTGGGATATGAGACAGACTAAGAGCTGGGATATGAGACAGACTAAGAGTTGGGATATGAGACAGACTAAGAGTTGGGATATGAGACAGACTAAGAGTTGGGATATGAGACAGACTAAGAGTGGGGATATGAGACAGACCAAGAGCTGGGATATGAGACAGACTAAGAGCTGGGATATGAGACAGACTAAGAGTTGGGATATGAGACAGACTAAGAGCTGGGATATGAGACAGACTAAGAGCTGGGATATGAGACAGACTAAGAGCTGGGATATGAGACAGACTAAGAGCTGGGATATGAGACAGACTAAGAGCTGGGATATGAGACAGACTAAGAGCTGGGATATGAGACAGACTAAGAGCTGGGATATGAGACAGACTAAGAGCTGGGATATGAGACAGACTAAGAGCTGGGATATGAGACAGACTAAGTGCTGGGATATGAGACAGACTAAGAGCTGGGATATGTGTACGGAGTTCAAGAAGCATCCTATAGGTTAAACAACAATTTGTTTACCTTATTTTCACGTCTCAGTTCATTGTCAATCTTCATATCCCAGCTCTTAGTCTGTCCCATATCCCAGCTCTTAGTCTGTCTCATATCCCAGCTCCTTAGTCTGTCCCATATCGCAGCTCTTAGTCTGTCTCATATCCCAGCTCTTAGTCTGTCTCATATCCCAGCTCTTAGTCTGTCTCATATCCCAGCTCTTAGTCTGTCTCATATCCCAGCTCTTAGTCTGTCTCATATCCCAGCTCTTAGTCTGTCTCATATCCCAGCTCTTAGTCTGACTCATATCCCAGCTCTTAGTCTGACTCATATCCCAGCTCTTAGTCTGTCTCATATCCCAGCTCTTGGACATATTGCTTTAGCTCTTGGACCCCACTTTCTAATTGACAGTAATTTGTTTCAACAGCTTATTGCTTTTTATTATTTGCTTTTCAGAGTGGATTAAGTTTGGCTAAAGCACTTTCTCTTTCATTGCGCGTCAGGGTGCGTGCAGCAGCTTGTAACAGCCTGGTTGACCTGACCCACAACTAGAAGGCATAATCATATAGCACCTCATTCTCGCGATTTGTCACTCCGTCAAAAATCCAACCTTTTAACCTAACCAAGAACGTGCCAACCCAAACAACCCAATTAACCTATCGAGTCCGTTACATAGAAAACGTAAATATTTGCGGGTCGTTACTTAAGACGCTGCATTTGTAACGTTGGTTATGATAACGTAAAGAAATGTGACCTATTGGTTGAGAGAACAGAGACCGGGCCCTGTAGATAATGACCCTCGGAACCTCCTTCGGGAACCAGTCAACCAGTCGCTGACTGAAGGACGAGGTCCTTGTTGACGCGAGGCATAAACACGTTATCTTTGTCCACTTTACGTGTGTCTCGTAAACCTTGTATGTTGTTATCATGTCTCCTCAGGCTCTCCACTTCAAGAAGGGAAGACACAATCGACTTGAGAATGGTCCAGGACGGACCGAAACCTCGTCGTCCTTTCACCTTCTAGTGTGTGGTCTGGTCAATCTCCACTTCAACTTGTGTTATCCTGACTTTTCTTAAACTTTTCTCACAATTTACTAACTTAGTTTAGGAGCCTTAAGACTTATAACGTCTCCAATTTGCTTGATTGCGTGTACTCACCCAAATGTACTCACACAGATGTACTCACAAATCTGCCCGAAACGCTGCGCGTACTAGTGGCTTTACAAGACTGTAATTACCATTTTATGTATCCTCACATTCCCAATGTACCTTCTTGTATATGCATAAATAAATAAATAAATAAATAAGTGTCTAACGACTAACCTGGATGTCTTCAGACGCCAACAAGTACACCGGGTCACCTCACGTCAGACACGGCATGGTCCGAGACCCATCACGGAGTCCCTGCCACAGACCTTATGTATTTTCAGACCCGAAACACTAATCACGTTAAACAAACAGCTTCACCCCAGAACAACTCTGGCCTGCGGTGCCAGCGAGAGCGGAGGAAGGTCACTACACACACAGAGGAGTGGGTCCAGGAGCTGCGTCACTCACCCCTGCCACACTTCCCCGCAAACTGAGCCATTACCCGCCGCGTCCGGCCTCCTCACCTCGCTGGGTTTCATGTAGTTTCCCCTCTACCGGAAATGACAGAAAATGGGAACTTGCTGTTAAGTTCATCGTTTTTTGTGTAAGTAAACACCGGATGTAATGCAGTATTATAACGAACTCAGAAAATGTTAATATGTTGTTATATTTCAGCAGAAAATGTTAATATGTTGTTATATTTCAGCAGAAAATGTTAATATGTTGTTATATTTCAGCAGAAAATGTTAATATGTTGTTATATTTCAGCAGAAAATGTTAATATGTTGTTATATTTCAGCAGAAAATGTTAATATGTTGTTATATTTCAGCCCATCTTCCTGTCGTGGTAGTACTTATAGTAACCATGAAGACCATAGTACATATACCGACTTACAACCAAATTAGAAAGTAGAACTCTGAACTATTAAGTTGGACAAACCGGAAAGCTATTTTTTACTTGTGTTTCTTTGACAAACTAACCTAACCTAACCTTCCTAGGCCTAATACACGATATATGAGGCCTAATATAGTACATATATGTGCTATACTAGGCCTAGGAACATTTCAGTTTGGATTTTAGCTTTATTTTATAAGAATTCTTTACTAGTCAGTATACTACTACCTGAAAGCTAAATACGTACGAATTAGTGACTATTGACTATAGCCACGAATTCGACACATATATCATATAACATACTATAGTATGTTAGCTACGATAACAAGTAGACTTTTAAGAAATATGTGAAATATAGAGGCTCGTCAGACTAGGTCTATCTACTACCAGCCCCAGGTGTTATGTTGGGGTATATCTACCAGCCCCAGGTGTTATGTTGGGTATATCTACCAGTCCCAGGTGTTATGTTGGGGTATATCTACCAGCCCCAGGTGTTATGTTGGGTATATCTACCAGCCCCAGGTGTTATGTTGGGTATATCTACCAGTCCCAGGTGTCATGTTGGGTATATCTACCAGCCCCAGGTGTTATGTTGGGTATATCTACCAGTCCCAGGTGTTATGTTGGGTATATCTACCAGCCCCAGGTGTTATGTTGGGTATATCTACTAATAAACCGGTGGTCGGAGAGACCAACAGTAGCAACAGAAACCTGTTGTTGATACTTCTCCAACAGAAGCATCACAAGCCACAACAGGACCATCACAAGCCACAACAGGACCACCACAACAGAACCACCACAAGCCACAACAGAACCACCACAAGCCACAACAGGACCATCACAAGCCACAACAGGACCACCACAACAGAACCACCACAAGCCACAACAGAACCACCACAAGCCACAACAGAACCACCACAAGCCACAACAGGACCACCACAAGCCACAACAGGACCACCACAAGCCACAACAGAACCACCACAAGCCACAACAGGACCACCACAAGCCACAACAGGACCACCACAAGCCACCACACCACAGCCACAACAGAACCACCACAAGCCACAACAGAACCACCACAAGCCACAACAGGACCACCACAAGCCACCACCACAGGACCACCACAAGCCACAACAGAACCACCACAAGACCACCACAAGCCACAACAGGACCACCACCAGCCACAACAGAACCACCACAAGCCACAACAGAACCACCACAAGCCACAACAGAACCACCACAAGCCACAACAGAACCACCACAAGCCACAACAGGACCACCACAAGCCACAACAGGACCACCACAACAGAACCACCACAAGCCACAACAGAACCACCACAAGCCACAACAGAACCACCACAAGCCACAACAGAACCACCACAAGCCACAACAGAACCACCACAACAGAACCACCACAAGCCACAACAGACCCACCACAAGCCACAACAGGACCACCACAAGCCACAACCACCACCACAAGCCACAACAACCACCACCACAACAGGACCACCAAGCCACAACAGGACCACCACAAGCCACAACAGAACCACCACAAGCCACAACAGAACCACCACAAGCCACAACAGGACCACCACAAGCCACAACAGGACCACCACAAGCCACAA